CGGATTTGCGGTGGCAAGTTGTTCAGGAGATATCGTGAAAAGCCTACAAATAAATGCTCAGATGAGTCAATTAGAAATATTACGTCACTAATTATATGCATAGTAGTTATTTTATGAATTTAATTAGAAAAAAAATAGATAAATAAATAAATAAATAAGAAAAAAAATAAATGAACGTTAAAATTTTTTTATCGCTTTTGGTAGATCCGAATGTAATTTTATGTGTCTATCTTTTTTCTCTAAATAGATTTATGAAGTAATTATTATATATGTCATTAGTTATTCTTTTGAGTATTATAAAATTTTTTTGTCTTATATATATATATATATTTGCAAAATGAGAATCAAATTCGAGAAAGTTAGCCAAATATGTATATAGTTAAAGAATTCTGTTTCCTCCTTAGTTATTAAGCTTCAAATATCATGCCAAGCTGTGAGAAATAATTCTTATGAATCCCTAGATAGCTAGTCTTAGCGTGTATAGCTATATAACTCATGTTTGATTTCGGTCAAAACATGATAAATCAGTGAAATATTATTTATCATCCCTATATTTGTTTTTTCTTAAGATCAGGAATGATGTGAAATTATTAATTAGATTTGCAATAAGAAAAGTCGTAACCTAATGCAAATTTCAATATATTTGGTAATATAAAAGGCTATCGTTTTTTATTTTTTTGTCTCGTATCTTTATTATAGTATGTATTAGAAATGGTTATGTTTTATCTAGTAATGATTTGAAACAATTAGGTTAAGTTCAACGATGAGCTTTCAATTACTGGATAAATTTTACGTGTAGAAAAGTAGATCACCTAAGACAAGACAAGAAATATGGTTCACTGTATATGGATAAAAAAGATGTTTTCCTTGTTACATGCTTGGGTAATCAATGACAAAGTTCTCGGTCGTGGTTGTAGCCTTGTAGGAGTCGCATTCACATACCTAGACAAAATGGTGACATATATATAGGCAATTTTTTTTTCTAACAATAAAAATTATTTTTGAATCAATTTTTACGTATTCTGAGATTAATTTATCCATGGTCGAGGATAAAAGGTATTTCTCAATGACTTTTGATAGTTTGAAAATAAAATATATTTTTTTCTAACAATAAAAATTATTTTTGAATCAATTTTTACGTATTCCGAGATTAATTTATCCATGGTCGAGGATAAAAGGTATTTCTCAATGACTTTTGATAGTTTGAAAATAAAATATATTTTTTTCTAACAATAAAAATTATTTTTGAATCAATTTTTACGTATTCCGAGATTAATTTATCCATGGACGTGGATAAAAAGTATTTCTCAATGACTTCGATAGTTTGAAAATAAATTTTCAAAAATATTAACTATAAAGATCCAATTTTAAACCTAACATACAAATCAATGCTTATTTACCAATGAGCTACTAGCTCGTGATTTTTAAACGGCAAATTTTAAGACATGCATTACTCTCTCATACAAACATATCATGGGATTATCTCATTCAAAAACTTAAGTTGTTAGGTAAAATCACAAGATCGCACATGTCCACGCTATCTTATGCTTAATTAATTAATTAAGAGAGAAAGCGAGGGCGATAGGTATTAAGGGACCATCTCATTTAAAAATTTAAATTATTAGATGAAATTTCGAATATGATTTATATTATTTTATAACGAGTAGGATTCGAACTTCTTACCGTTTGGTCATCAAGAATCCGATATCATATCAAATCAAATGATTATCTCATACAAAAGCTTAAACTTAGGTGATGTTCAAAAATACCATTATAATATTTTCTAACAAAACACACAAATAAGAAGACACATGGAGTTTTTTTTTACACATGTTCCAAGATGCATCATATAAAACGTATGATAGCATTAGTTAACTATTATCACACTGCATTGAAGCAGCATATAAAATAACTAAATCAAGAGAACTATAATGGTTTTTATTTTTAAGAAATTCACAAATAGTAAGTTTTGAGAATTAGAAATGACAATAAATGTGCATTTAATTGGAGTATATATCTGCCCCCATCGAGTAATTAGCATTTACCTTTCATGATTTTTTTTAAATATTTATTTATTTAACTTTCATTAATTAATTAATTTGTTTAATTTGCATGCCCCGTCTCTATCAATTGGCGTACATGCAGACCTCCATTGTAATCCGTATTAAAAAAGATTCATTGTATACTGATGAAAAAAACACATATTATATATCCCTATTACACGGTTGGATAATGAATGAGAAAGTTGATTCTTGTGGCTGTCGGCGTTGCATTCATGTACTTGAAAAGGATGGTAACATAATTAATGATCAGGCAATCTTTGGACTCCGTCCACATCAAGCATTCAGTTTTGGAGCTCTTTCTGCCCTTCAGCATGTCATGTTGGAAATACAAAGTGGATCACGCATCCTTGAGAAATAAGATACCATGATGGACCATATACATATTTAATGTCTGTCTTTTTTTTTTTAATCTTTCATGTATTTTTTAATTAAGTTTTATACATTCATCTATTACCATTCATACATACGTATGATACGATAACCCTTTTTTAATTATAACTATTTAAATTTCTTTTTAAATTCAGAACATGAGGTGACAACTTGAAAGAATAAACTAGCTCACCACAAGACCAAACCTAAAAAAAATTATATCCAATTTCTTATTCGTAACATTTACTGCCCACAACTATTGTTTGTGGCTTACGTAGATTCCTTCATTTATGATATTTAGCGGTTCAAATTAAAGAGAGGAAGTGTAGAGTTTGAAGCGAAGCAAAAGGATACTGACAAGGAAAGATGGGCGCCTGAATCTAGCAGAAAGCAAGGTATCATCTAGCGGATTATTCTCAAAATGTGCTCATGGCATATTTGGAATTTTGCAAGCAACATATATGCTTTTAAGACTTTTCGCCATATCACTAAACTTTTTCCCCAACTAATTCCTTCACAATATTAAACACTTACCAATATGCAACTTAATTAAATTCTAAAAAGGAAAAAAAAAATTAAAAGTTAAACCGCCATCATAATTGACACATTTTGTAACTTTTATATTATTGAAGAATTTATCTCATATCAAATAAATAATATATAAAATTAAGAATAAGTCATTTGTCATAAAAATTTAAAGATTTTTTTTTTTAATAAAATCCAATCTTAACTATCAAGTTTAATATGACATTAGAGTTTTAGAGAAATCGAATGAATAATAAAAAATCTTGAAACCCAAACTATTTTGCATATCTCAAAAAGTAAGTTGTAAATGCAGAGTATTAGAAAATTTATCTCATATCAAATAAATACTTAATAAAAAAGTAATATATAAAGTTAAAAACGTAATGCCTATTATAAAAAAATTATATATATAAAACTCAATTTAAACTATCAAATTTAATGCAAAATATTAGCCATAGACATGGAATCATTAATTTTTTTTTTTATAAGCAAGAATAGTTACTATTGATATCGAGTCCTAGTTTTATTTATATTTTTTATAGACAAAACCGATTGATGGTTTAATCATTTTGATGGAAGCAATCTAAATCTTAACCCTCGCAATAATATATGATCTTTTATGCCAGATTGATTAGAAAAGAAATGAAAAAAAAAAAAAGTCAACGAGCTTGCTAAATATTGATAATCGGTCATATAATGAATAATCTTTTTCAAAATATATGATGTTGAATTCAATAATTTGTAGCAGTATTCAATACATATTATTTGTCTTCGCAGCCATGAAATTGTGACGATCGATAAAGAGTTTTAGTTGGTAGATGTGGGCAGGGAGGTTTACGTCAATAACAAGTTAGGCTAAAAAAAATGTAGATAGGTTCATGATTAATAGAAGATGGCAATTTGGTCAAGTTCAAGAGATCAAAAATATCTGAAGTACCTTTGCAAAATATCTCACATCACATGCCCATTTCCTTATTCGACCAAATAAATAAATCCTGCAAAAGTCTGGAACTTTCCCTTTATTCCAAGCCTCCCACCATCAGACGGTCCCCACTTACCCAAATGACCAAAATATCCAACATCACATTCCGCGCCTTTTGATAATAATAAAAAATCACCATTTTCTTATTTACATCAACAAACATTGTTACATTTAATTTTTGCATATTAGAATGTGAACGAATGGATTTTTTTTTAATTGTTATTTCTTTTTTTACTGAGAAGAGATAAAAAAATGGATGAAAAAGACATCAAAGAAAGGAGGATAATTTGAAAAAATAAACACTTATCTAGTAAAAATTTAAGTTACTGATGAAATTATATAAATGATTGAATAATTAATTTCTTTAAAATAATTAATTTGATTTTTCAAAACGCGAGGTATTAATTTATAATTTAATCATTAAACTAAATCTAAAATTCGATGCCACTTTCTATAATTAAAAGTAAAAAGGCAAATGGATTCAACTGTTATGTGATGGAGACAGACTCATCTCTTCTATATCTGCCCTCTGACTTTCTCTAAGACGTTTTCGACTTTACCTACAAAACACCAAATCAGCTCTCTGAGATGATCCCTCGAGAGACGGTCACCCCAAATAAATCCAAAAACAAGGGCATTTGAGTCATTTACATGATTCACTAAAACGCATAAGCAAACAACGAAAGGTGGTCAGGAAATAGACAAACAAATTAATTTAATACAGCAAGACGATGCACAACCGACCGGAGAAAAACCATTTTTGCCAACAATGCAAAATTTATTAAACTTTTAGAAACCGTACCACACAAACTACGTCGTTTTCAACTCTCGTTTTTTTTGTCTCATTCTCCTCCCTTCTCTTTATCAAAAAATATCTTCATTTCCGAAAAAAGTCCTCTCTGTCTACTAACCTTCATCTCCGATCATCACTCAAAAGAAAAAGATTCTCTCAGTCACAGCGGTTTTTGGCTCAACACGGTGTCGTGTTAGTGTAAGTTTGGTGTAAATGCGTGATCAAAAGGCTCCGTGAGTGGTAAAACTGGCAGAGAAATTGAAGAAAAATGGATAGATCGGCGATAACAGTCGGCCCGGGAATGGACATGCCGATCATGCATGACAGTGACCGGTACGATTTAGTGAAAGATATAGGGTCAGGTAATTTCGGTGTAGCCAGATTGATGAGAGATAAAGTTACCAAAGAACTTGTTGCGGTTAAGTATATAGAAAGAGGCGATAAGGTTCGTTTTTATTTATTGTGGAGTGATGATTGTTTTGATTGATTTTTGTCACGTCTTTTGGAGTTTGCTAGTTTTAGTATGTTGCTGAATTTAATGTTGGTTCATTTATGGATTTATTTCTGATTACTATTTTTGATGTATTTTCTCTTTCTATCTATTTTTTTTTCAATAAAAAAAGAGAGGAGAAAAAGATATAAAATTAACTATTTTTAGCTTTGGGGATATTATTGATTTATTTCTTACTGAAGTTATTTGTTTTTTTTTTTTTTTTACATTAAATTTTGAATGGAAATTGATTAGATTGTGGAATGGCTGAAGTTTTTTTGATGTGTTATTATTGTGTTACAGATTGATGAAAATGTTCAAAGAGAAATAATAAACCACAGGTCGTTGAGGCACCCTAATATTGTGAGGTTTAAAGAGGTTAGTTTATGAAATATTTTTTATTTCTATTTTTGAGATTGTTGGTTTAAGCTATATAAATATATGCATATACATTGATGTAAATCGTACTCCAGGTGATTTTAACTCCGACCCATTTGGCAATTGTAATGGAATATGCAGCTGGAGGAGAGCTTTTTGAGCGAATTTGCAAGAGTGGGCGGTTCAGTGAGGATGAGGTTGTTATACCCATATCATTAATCATTAACCTGTTATTTTATTTTATATTATTTTTTTAATATGGCTGCATTTTTTTGTGTGGTATCTTGAACTGGTTCAGGCTCGATTCTTCTTTCAACAACTTATATCTGGAGTCAGCTATTGTCATGCCATGGTACTTATTCTTTCTTCTATTTTAGTTTTGTATGTTTTCTCGAGGTGATACAAACTGGAATTCTAGGTTATTTATTTGGCATTTTAATAATGTTCTTGATGAAGCAAGTATGTCACCGTGACTTGAAGTTGGAGAACACATTGTTGGATGGTAGCCCAGCTCCTCGTTTGAAGATTTGTGATTTTGGGTACTCCAAGGTAATTAATATTTTTCACTTTTTTTCAATTACTATTCTCTTTTCTGATCTGCAGAGTGTCTGTTCCGTGTTTGCATATTATCAATTTTTCAGAACCTTAATATGTTTTGATCAAGAATGTTCTGGTGCATTTAGGAATACTCTACTTAATTGGTGCTCTCATTTTGAGTACAGATTCTCTTGAAAGTTTGTTCTCAGATAGTAGAAAGAGGCAGAGGATGTGGTTCTGTAGAGTACGGATGATAACCAGTTTTATTCTTACTTATATTTCATGCAATCATTGTTTCTGTACTGGAAGACGGTTCTTTCACCGTGTTAAACTGGGATTGAATAATCCTTAGCTTTTTCTAACTTGTATTGTGGTAGACCATTTAGCTGCTCTTGCATTTGTTATTGCTTTCAAATTATTTCTTGTTTGTGAATCATAATTGTTTGTTGAACAACAGCACTTCACTGATTCTCATTCTCTATCTTAAGGCTTTAGCATAACTAATGATTGTTTCTACCTTACATACTTTTCTGGGTGCCCTCTTAGTCCTCAGTGCTTCACTCTCAACCAAAATCAACCGTGGGAACTCCTGCATACATTGCTCCAGAAGTGCTCTCGAGGCAAGAATATGATGGCAAGGTAGCATAATTTCTTTTACTCCGTTGTCAATTAGAACATTATTATATCCTAGCAACTTCATCTTATACAACTTGGATTGTTAGCTTTTTAACTGTATGGAGTGCTATTTTTGTTTTTTGTTGATTGGCAATTAGTCATGTTTGGTGGAAAATTGAAATTTGGAAATACAGAGTTATATGATTCTCAATGTGGTCCTTGTTATTGTTTTGTATATATTGCTTTGGCTCTTGTGGTGAGCATTTGAGCATTGCGGATGAGATAATTATTAGCTAACAATGAGGTTTGCATTAGGTATTTTTCCAATGAGAATGCTCCAGAGCCTTCAATTATATGATATTTGGGAGCATGCAGGGTTATCCTTCTTTATTATCTATTATGGTTTGGAGGTTTATATAGATGATCAGGCAATCATATCATACCTTATCTGTGACCAGTTGTTGGTCCACGCTGTATGCATGTATGATAAGAAATGATCATCTACGACTCCCTAATGTTTTCCTAGCAGTGACAGCAGCTGACTCCAAGCCAAAGTCAAGTCTTTGGTGCTTAAGTTGAGGTGCTTAGACAGAGCGTAGAGCAGATTGAAATTGTGTCATGTTTATCCTCACATTTATTATCTTAATAGTGCAAGTCTTGGCCTAGTGATCATGCTGTAGGCTTGCTGAAGTGTTTGTGGTCCACAGTGTTGAAAGTCAAGTATCGCTTGATTCCTTGCAACTTTCTGCTGCTTCAGTTGATTGGCTGCGAAAATAATTTTTATTAAGGGTTAATCTATGGCTGTGCTACATTAGGCTCTGTGTTCATGTCATTTTAGAAAGGGACTCTAGAAGCAATATTTTGGCATGAATTTGTTCCCTTTCAAGGCTGACAGCAAATAATTTCAATATCTCCTTTTGTGGTTCATAGAGGAAGTTCTGCTTTGCTTCTCCTTTTACTGGCAAATACCTGCAGCCCTTGCAGGACTTGGGTATGCTCTACCTCAGTTATTGCCGCCAACAACACCAACCCACCCCCCCCCCCCACAACCCCGGCGGGGGTGGGTGTTGTTGGTGGCAATAACTAAAACAATAAAGAACAGCAAACTCGTTTTTTAAGCAAACTCGTGCAATATATATATATATTGTCATTCAAACTGCAAGGAGTATTTTTAAGCCCTCGTGTATCTTGTAGGTTTTGCCTGGATGCAGAGCACTATGTGCATGTAGATATAGGAAAGCACACATTTTCAGAGGGCATCATTAATTTCCAAGAATTATATTCATAACCAAAGAACAGCAAAACGGGGTGCAATTAGTCTATTAGCCAGTGGATGGTCTTGTATATGGTAAATAATTGTTACCTTAAAACAAAGGTTGATCAAGGTTCGATAACCGTTACCTTATATGTAATTTAATTAAAGATGAACTGATTTCAGTGCCTTGTGCTTTGACTTAAGTTGTGCTTTCCACATCTTGATTTTGCTTTAGGTGAACATGTGTTGATTTGAGGAGAACACAGTTTTCCCTTTATGCTCTATGCTTTTATCTTTAAGCCTGTGTAGGCATGCTTGTGAAATTTCTTTCTATCTCTCCACCTCTCTGCTTTTCTCCTCCTTTTCTAACCACATCCTATGTGGCAATTAGAAGTACTAGTTAATATATGCTTCACACACATGCATTCCAGCTGCATTTATGGTAATACAGGTAGCAATCTTGATGTTCTGTGATGCAGGTTGCAGATGTGTGGTCATGTGGTGTAACCTTATATGTGATGCTCGTTGGATCCTATCCCTTTGAGGATCCTGATGAGCCTAAAGACTTCCGGAAGACAATACAGGTACCAAATGGATCCTGCTGTTACATTTTAAACTCTCAATTCTTATGCAATTTATTTTATGAAAGAACATTTTGTTGGTTCTATGCAGAGAATTATTAATGTCCAGTATTCTATTCCAGACTCCATTCAGATAACCCCAGAATGTTGCCACCTGATTTCAAGGATTTTTGATGCCGAACCTGCAACTGTGAGTAATAATTCCTTTTCCTTCTTTTTTTGTTGGATAATTTAAATTGCGTTAAAATCATTCAAAGCATGTTATATGATGCATTACACTTGTAGTTGTACTTGAGTTTGTGTGATCTTCGTGTAATCCTCCTGCTTGTGGATGTTTGCATGCAACAGAGGATTACCATTCCTGAAATCAGGAATCATAAGTGGTTTCTAAAGAATCTTCCCGCCGACCTAATGGATGAAAAGACGATGGGCAGCCAGTTTGAAGAGCCTGATCAGCCCATGCAGAGCCTTGATACAATCATGCAGATAGTTTCTGAGGCCACTGTACCAGCAGTTGGGGTGCATGGTTTTAATCGATGCTTGTTGGATGATCTGGACATGGATGAAGATATGGAGGACTTAGATTCTGAATCCGAGCTTGATATTGACAGCAGTGGGGAGATGGTTTATGCAATGTAATCCAATGATTGTGCAGTTGTACTTCTTCCAGCATGCCTTTGCCAGATGATGTTCACGGAGCACATGAATGTATGAAGTTCAAAGTCAAATAAATGTGTTGTTGAATATGGTATGTATAGAATAGGCAAAGCATGGGAAAGTTCAATCTGTGATTTAGATTTCATGTTCACATTGTAAGCTTTCGTACCTTTCTGTGTGGAGGGATTTGATCTTATTCATGAAGGGTGGGAAACTGGAACAAATTCTGGACGCTAGAGGATGACAACCAACTGCCTTCCTATCGAGAACCAGTCTGTTCATTATTCAGTTTTGTTTGTTGTGCTATGTCATGGTATTATCTGTTTGTTTACTCTCTAAGAAAGGTGCCTGAAGGTTTTAGTGGTGGTAAATTTTTGCAGCAATCTATTACCCGTAATTTCTGTTTTAATAGAAAAACTGTCTCTTCGAGTGTATAGAGTAATTTGACCTTACATAAGTTGCTGCTGCAGACGGTCCTGGAATGCCTCAATCCTGAAGACGACATGCTCGTTTCTTTGATTAATTTCTGTTGGGTTGTATTGGAGACCGCCATTCAACTTCTTTTTTTTGGTTATAAAATCCTCTTGGTTGACGTAGGCATAAAAGAATCCGCAAAACACACATAAATAAATATTCCCTGTTAACACTTAAACATAATACAAGCACTTGATTCAGTATGTTATGGGGTAATCTCACTACTTCCTTTGTGAAATTTCACCCCCAAATCCAGCTATGAGAAAATAAAATAGAAAAATTAATATTTAAATTTGCTGAAGAAAACAATAGAATTGAAAATAAAGGCAGAAGAACATCATTCTCAGAAGAGAAGTTGGTCAAAAACGATTACTGTAAAGCCAGTTTAAGTTGAAATCTTCTTTCTGCACCCTAATCTTCAAATTCTTGCAAAAGCGCACAAATGGTTTCCACAAACTGGCTGTTTCTTCATCACACACGACTTCCTTCAGATGCTCAAGATTCGTGATTGATGGCGGCAACACACAATTACTTGAGCAGCCCATCATAAAGACTCGACTTAGCTTTTGCAGCTCCCCGATCTCTTCTGGTAATCTTTCAATTTCTAAACACTCTGATATGTCAAGAACACTCAAGTTACGGAGGCTCCCAATCGTGTTCGGTAACTCTCGCAACTCAATACAGGAACCAAGCCTTAGAACCTCTAAATTAACCAACTTTCCTATTTCTTTAGGCAATGCAACCAACTGATGACAATTGATGATGCTGAGTTTCTTTAGCTTGATAAGAAGACAGATCTCAACCGGCAATTCTATCAGATCATTGCTGTGCTCAATGTTGATTTCCATTACATTCGGCAATGCTTCAGAAACCAGGACGGTTGAGGTACTAAAAGCTTGACCAATGTTGCACATATACAACGTTAGCTTTTGTAGAATCTCAAACTTCACAGAGGTGAAGGCAAAGGGAGGAATTGACACATGCTCCAATCTGATTCTCTTCAAGTTGGATACAGAACCAACAAGCAGGAAATTACTTAATTCAGTCGGAAAGAAACCATAGCTCGTGACTATCAAAACTTTCAGCTTCTCCATTTTCTTTATGAACTCCGGTAATGTGTAGTTCTTTGCTCGAACATTAAGAACCAAAACCTCAACTTCAGGTGCTTGTATGAAGCACCAACCTGATGAGAACTTTTCATCTGCAAACAATGTTCCACTTCCATATGATGCAAAAGGGCATATCGAAAGAAGACAAACAAATTAACCGTACGTAGCTCTTGTGCACGTGCACGAGTGACTGTGTGAAGGTAGAGAGACAAGAACAACCTGTGGAGATAGACAAGAGGCGGCAACTAATGCTTGGCTGCTTCTGTTCCATCCACCAGGCAGGAACATCATTTGCACTTATCTCCAGAATTAATCTTTTTCTCCGCTCGATGGACAGTGAGTTGCTCTGACGGATGGCTAGCTCTCTAAGGAGGTCATGTTGCATTGCGAAGTGCTGATTGTAGCAGCCACTTGCAAAGTTCCTGGTGAAAGACCAAGAATTAATTGGTTAGGGGAATTCTACAGAATTTTCGCATACCAAGACATATAATACATGCTTTTCTTATAGAAGGACGGCTATACTAACTATAAAGGCAGCTTCATCAGACAGATTACAATTAAACATGAGAACAACAAACAGTTTGCTTAAAATTGCGTGCAGAAAAATATTTGGTCACATGAAGTCTGAAGAAGAAGAAGAGAGCTTGTGGGCACAGCAGCATACCTTGTGACTACAAGATCAACTAGATTCCGGTTGCAGAGTTCCCGGAGTTTGGCAACCGCATATGCTTCTTCGTCTAGATCGTACAATTCCATCCACATATCAACAAGGGCATTAACAGGAATCCTTTGATCTTCAGGAAATGAACATAGGTCCATGAAGCACTCCTTCACTATAACCTTATCATCTAAGGTATCCAAACTTCTCTGCAGAGAATTGAGCAGGTCATCGTTTTCAAAAATTGAACCAACTTTAGACAGCTCCGTTGCTCTAGTTTTCCAAATTTCTTCAGGCTCTCCACGGAGTGATCTGCCGACCACTTTAAGGGCCAGTGGGAACCCCTTGCACCCTTTCACTATCTGCACAAAAAAAGAAGATGTCACTGTTTGGTGGTGGTTAGGGGTTTAACAACAGCTCAGATGAAGTCTTTTTCAACTCGGTTATTTGTTACACACATATTGTTTCTGAAATTAAGGTAAAATGTGGCACCTTGCTGACAACATCTTCATCTGCGATGTCTCGGCTCTGATTAGGTAGGAATGCGGAGTTGCAGAAAAGAGTCAAGGAATCTTCATAATTCAAAGGTTTTAACTTATATGTAGAACCGAATCTTGGAAATACAGATCTCGATGTTACCAAAATTTTGTAATCTTTGATTTGGAACTGAAACTTTTCAAGTAAGGACTCTGATTCAGGCCAAACATCATCCAGGACCAACAATATTGGACTTGGTCCTATGCTGTTCAAAAATTGCTCCAATCGGTAGACTATATCTTCGTCACTTCGAAAATCACTCGTGTACTTTCTACCTTTATGATTGAATAGTCCCCTTACAATGCCTTCCATGTTGGGGTTTTTCGACACAATAACATAAAAGATGTTGTCTTTGAATTTTTCTGTCCAAAGACCAAAAACTATATGAGAGAATTGCTACTAAACACTTGCAGAAACTCTAAGATAGAAAGGAAAACATTCACATCGCATCAGAGTTTCTAGAATCGATACCTTGAATTTCTTTATCATGACAAAGTAGTCCTGCCAATGTTGTTTTTCCGCAGCCTGGAGGAGCAGAAAGTACAACGATAGACACCCCTTCCTTAAACAGCTCCATCTTCAATTCTCTTAATGCCACCTGAGCTAATCCAACAGGATCCACCAAAGAATTTGGGATTGCACATGAGACATTACGTCCATCAATCTTTCCATTCGAACTTGGACCCCTGCCTCTCACCTCCAACAGAATTTCTTTGGTGTCTCTTGCTGTTTGCACTGGTATAACATTCTGAAAGAACAGCTTGAGCGAATCTTCTAGCTCGGTGAGCTTATCTGTGTATTTAGACCTTCTCCAACAATTGTACCACCGAATTTTTGAGCATTCAAGAACGAGCGTCGTGCCATTCCTGACCACTCCCATTATCTTTTCGGTCTCTTCACTTCTACGATCCAATTCTTTATTCAAGCTTTTGATTTCATCTAAAACTGGACTGTTGGATTCTAGAATTTCTTGTATTTCCTTGAATTTGGTCTTGAACATGAGGGCTTTGTTTGCCACGTTCATTATTGCTCCTAGCAGCTCTCCAAACACTGCTCCAACAGCATCTCCGCCAAGCAAGTCAGCCATCACTCTTTATCTACAGTACAAGGCAAATTTTTTACTTTCAAGAACCTCAAGTCCTCCCAATCTAGAGTATTATTCAGATGAAAAGTTGGACAACGATAGAAATATGAGAAATGTATCTTGGTCTTGCAACATATAAAGAAAGGAATAACAGAATTGTTTCTCTCTTGCAGCGAAGGAAATTTCATGCCTTCTTCTCATTGACATTGACTTAGTTACTTCATATGGTAATTGGCTTAGCTATTAAGCAAGACAAATCAGGCTGTCAATCATATAAATTGGGCAGTTGATGCTTTAACGTTTCTACACTGAAAAGGTAAACAAGGAAAGACGAAGGAAGAAAAGAATCGAATAAAAGTCGGTGCAATTTGTAGGCAATTCTTTTTCTTCAAAAACACCATGACTTTTGTTCACAATGGAGCAATTATCTAATGAATATGATTCTCTTTGTATCCATGATATGGCCCATCTCTTCTGAGTATTAAAGTCATGAAGAAACGTAATAGAGGCTCTGTTATATATTCCAACATGTCTAATCCGGCAGCCTAATTTTCTAATTTGTTCATAATTTCATCAACTGTGAAAATAATTGGAGCAAACCCTGAAAATACCATCCCAGTATTTAGATAGTTTCGATAGTATCATCAAACAATTTTTTATATCAGTTTTACCATTGGTTTTTCAGAATTCTCAATTAAAGATTTCTATCTGTTTTTAAAGTTTTTTTTTTTAATCCATATTTCCATCCAAATTGTATGATTTTTTTTTAAACGACGTCGTTTTGTAAGGAATTTCATGGTTTTTTTTTTTTTTGAAGTGATTCTACTAAAAGTTTATAATTGAGGAATCAAATCAAATCATCAGTTTAGTTTACAAAAAAGTAGTTTAATTGAGGTGTAAAATTGATAATATCCTTATATTTTGGTAGTATATTTGATGTTTGCCATAATAATTTCAAGGATACCTAATAATTAAGTCACTAGCTCTTTCAAAATTCATAAGAAAAGTTTCCAAAGCGCAACATTTTTCTATATTCTTTTCAATAGTCTAATTTTCCAGCGTTCTCATGGAGCATCCTTCTGATGGTCAGGTGTGGAAGCATTTTAATAATATGCATCTTGAGTCTTCTACGGACCCACATAATGTGCGACTCTTTTGCTCCTTATTCTTATTGCTTTGTTATTATGGCAGTTTATAATTTACAGCCAGGAAATGTGCATGGAGTGGGAATTTATGTTTCTGAATATGATCTTTCCAGGTCCATACAATCCAAGGAGCAATATAGATGTTTGCCGTAAGACCGTTGATGAAGCAATTATGGTCTAATGGGCTCATTTTCAATAAGTATGTTTCTTCTTGACTTAGAACCTTAAGTTGTTCAGAGTTTGATGCCCCAGTCGTATTTCGATGCAACAGAGCGTAAGTTTTTGATCCAGGAAATTGCTGTCTCCCTCTTTATTCATGGTGATGCCACTACTTTCCTATGTGAAATTGCACACACCAAATCCAGTTACGAAAACAAAATACAATCTTTTATATAATTTCATCTAATGAAGAAACCAGTGCATGGTATTACAAAAGTGTTAAAAACAAAGGCTGTTCAACAATATTGTTTCTGATGAAGTGTTGGTCAAAAACGATGGTTGTCAAGCCAGTCTAAGTTGATGTCTTCTTTATGCACCTTAATTCTCAAATTCTCGAGAACATGCCTAACCGGTTCCCACAGATCGGCTGTTTCTTCATCGCATACGACTTCCTTCAAATATTTAAGATTCACGATCGATGGCGGCAACTCATGGATGTTCGAGCAGCCAATCATGTGCAGCATGCTCAGATTTTGCACCTCTCCGATCTCTTCTGGTAATCTTTCAATCTCTAAACACTCTGATATGTCAAGAATGTTCAAATTATGGAGGCCCCCAATTGTGTGTGGCAACTCAAGCAATTCTATACAGGAACCAAGTCTTAGAATTTCTAAATTAACCAACTTGCCGATTTCTCTAGGCAATGCAATCAACTTATGACAATTGGTGATGCTGATGTTCCTTAGCTTGATAAGATGGCAGATCTCACCAGGCAATTCTATCAGATCATTGCTGTAGTCAATGTTGATTTCCACTAAATTTGGCAATGCTTCTGAAACCAGGATGGTAGAGGTACCAAAGGCTTGACCAATGTTGCACATAAACAAAGATAGCTTTTGTATATTCTCCAACTTCGTAGAGGTGAAGGCAAAGGAAGGAATTGAAACCTGCTCTAATCTGATTCTCTTCAAGTTGGGTACAGAAGCAAGAAGTTGGAAATTACTAAATTCTGTAGGCAAGGAACCATGGTTCATGAATATCAAAACTTTCAGCTTCTCCATCCCAGCAATGAACTCCGGTAATGTGTAGTTCTTTGTTTGACAATTAAGAACCAAAACCTCAACTTCAGGTGCTTGCATGGAGCACCAACTTGATGAGAAGTTTTCATCTGCAAGTGATATTCCATAGGGTGTGAAAATGCAGGTGTACAGAAGATTAACTACTGTTATGTGTGAATTAAAGACAGAGATGAAAACCTGTGGAGATAGACAAGAGGCGGCTACTAATGCTTGGTTTCTTCTGTTCCATCCACCAGTCAGGGACATTGTTGGCATGTATCTCCAGAACTAGTCTTTTTTTCTGCTCGATGGGTTCCAACTCACTTTGATGGATAGTTAGCTCTCTCAGAAGATCATGCTGCATAGCAAAGTGATGATTATAGCAGCCGCTTAGATCATCCCTGGCAAATAACCATATGTTGATTGGTTAGGGAAAATCACAGAATTCATGCTTTTCCTACTTCTCTAAGATTTTAAGAATCAAACCAGTATAAAGGACATGAATAAAATGCCAATCCAGACAATTAAACAAGAAGAGAAGTTTTAGTCAAATGCTTACCTTGTGACTACAAGATCAACTAAATTTCGATTAGAGAGTTCCTGGATTTTGGCAACGGCATATGCTTCTTCATCTAGCTTGTACAATTCCATCCACATATCAATGAGGGCGTTAACAGGAATCCTTTGATCCTCAGGAAATGAACATAAGTCCATGAAGCACTCCTTCACTATAACCTTTTTATCTAAGGCATCCAAACTTCTTTGGAGAGAATTGAGCAGGTCACTGTATTCGAAAATTGAACCAACTTTAGACAATTCCGTTGCTCTGGTTTTCCAGATTTCTGCAGGTTCTCCACAGAGGGATTTGCCAACCACTTTAAGGGCCAGTGGAAATCCCTTGCACCCTTTCACTATCTGCGGACAAATAAAAGCGACTGGTTGGTTGTGATTATATTTATGGGTAAAAGTAGCCGACCGAAGTCTCTTGCAACTTGGTTATTTGTTACACGTTGTTTGATAAAGGTAAGAAACGTTACCTTGCTGACAACATCTTCATCTGCAATTTTTGCGCTCTGATCAGGTAGGAATGCTGAGTTGCAGAAAAGAGTCAAGGAATCATCATAATTCAATGGTTGCAACTTATATGTAGAGCCAAATCTTGGAAAATCAGATCTTGATGTCACCAATATCTTGTAATCTGGTATTTGGAACTTAAAATTCTCAAGAAGGGACTCTGAACCGGGCCATACATCATCCAGGACCAACAGTATAGGACTTGGTCCTATATTCTTCAAAAATTGTTCAAGTTGGTAAACTACATCTTCGTCACTTTGAAAGTCACCTACATCGAGACCTCGATGCTTGAATAGTCTCCTTACGACGCCTTCCATGCTTGCGTTTTTTGATGCAATGACATAAAAGATGTTATCCTGGAATTTACCTGTCCAAATTAAGCCCAAGAACCATATGAGAGCTGCTACTGAAAGTTGTGGAAATTATAACAAAGAAAGGCAAACATTCAAATGAAATGAAGAGTTTTTTTAATCAATACCTTGAACTTCCTTATCGTGACAAAGTAGTTTAGCCAATGTTGTCTTTCCACAGCCAGGAGGAGCTGACAATACAACCATGGACACCCCATCCTTGAACAGCTCCATCTTCAATTCCTCCAATACCAACTCTGACCCAACAGGATTCGCCGGAGGCTCAGGGACTGCACTCGAAGCATAAAATCCAATTTTTCTCCCTCTGCTCGAATGCTTGCCTGTTACTTCCACCAAAATCTTTTTGACGTCCCTTGCTGTTTGGCCTTGCATGATAATCTGAAAAAACAGCTTGAGTGACCCTTCTAATTTGAGAAGCTTGTTTGTGTATCTAGACTTTTCCCAGTAGTTATATCGATGAATTTTGGTGCATTTAAGAACAAGCTTCTCGGCTTTCCTGATTACTTTCATGATTTTTTCTGTCTCTTCCTTTCTACCATCCAGTGCTTTGTTCAACTGATCAATGTCTTGGAGAATCGGAATGATTGATTGTAGTATGTCTTCCATGGTCTCCAGGTTGGACCTAAACATCAGGGCTTTGTCTTTCACGTCCAATACTGCTTTTAAAAGCTCCCCGAAAACTGCCCCCAGAGCAGCTCCACCAATGAATGCAGCTGCCATTGCTGTTTCTCTATGAAAGTTTGACAAATCCAATATTTCAGTAACTTCTGGTTCTCTCAGTTTTGAGTTTTATCGGGATGCCAAAAAAATAAAAAAATAAAAAAATGCGACGAAGTCTTTTAGGTAGTTTATCACGATCCGGATCAATATATACATATATAAAGAAGGAATTTGTTTTGTTGCTGCGAAGGAAGCTTCATATATAAGTTCATCAACTTTGACCTCGTATTTTACAAGGCTTAGTCGCGTAGAAGCCTTCAATCACATGGGATGGGAGTTTTTGACCTTTTGCACATTGAAATGCAAACAACAAAGCGCGTACGTGTGGTTTTTAATTAAGCAATGCAAACAGCAAAGCACATTGAAAAGTCAACGAATATTAGATGCTTCTTGAAAGCAAAATGTGAGCATTTTTAGAAAGAAAATAAAGAGAAAGGGAAGGCATAATTAATTAAGATGGTGGTTTAAAGGCAGCTTTTCTTCGCAACCAGACATTTCTTTCATCAATTTTACGGTTCATCTCTTCTGCAGGCCCCTACCTGTAACTATTGCAGTACCTCTTAACAGGCAGCCTGGTTTTTACTTTTGTTTACATTTTCTCAGATGCCATTGCAAATCTTACAACACCTAATAAGTAGGGATTCATGTCTGGCCTTGTCGGCAATCTATATATATATATTAAACCTGGAGCTTTGAGATAAGCTTTAAGTATTTGTCTTTTGGTTAAATTGTAAAATATTCCTGAACTAAAAAATTCTTGATTTTGCCCATTAAACAATATATGATTTTTTGAATTTGTCGCTTCTCTTAGAATGTTATAAGGAAATGGATGGAAATGCCCTTTAAAATCCTCTCAATTCCTCTCTTTTCTCTACTATTAAACATTTTTTTTTTTTTTAATTAGTCGAGAAAAGTATAAAAATTCTAAGGATTTAATGTGAGTTTCCGTCAATGTTTTCAATAGAACCCTAATTTAGAGGAAAATTTTTAGTTCAGATGGATATTTGTTTCTTCACTCAAACTTTAGAAGAGATATTTTAAAATTCGAAGGATAATATGTCATTTTTTTTCAATTTCATAAGCATGAGTTTTTAAGATTTATCTCGATTTTGGTGCTGTCACATATGATGTTTTTTAGTTGATAATATCAAAATTAATAACAAATTAATATTTGATTAAAAATCAAATTAATTATACAAGTATTATTATTAAACATAAACTCATCTAATCTGTTAATTAGTTCTTATTTGGAATATACTTAAATAAAAACTGATATATATAAAGCTACCATTTCTTCGATATGCTCTCTCTACCTCTTTTTTTCTTTATAAATATTATTTAATTCGTATAATTTTTTGTTTGATAATTTATATTTATATTCTATACTTCTACATATCTATCTCTCTTTTTCTTTATAAATTTTATTTAAGTGTATATTTTATTTATTTATTTATTTTATACTACAAGTAGCTCCATCTATTCGTTGTTGGATTAAATCTATATATTTTAATAAATAAAAATTATTTTTTAATAAAAAACTAGTGCTAGAATAAGATAAATTCATAGTTTTAAATGACAGATGGACAGGGCAGCTGATTCTTCTAATACATCTTCGAGACCTGGCCCAGCATATCCTAGTGAAGCCCAATATCCCAAGGACAAGTCCAAAATTGCAACAACACAAAGTGCACTCTTCCAGCAGTAACAAATCCACACCCCACACCCCAGAACAGGTTCAGCCCAACAGCAATTACCCAGCACCATCCAGTAGCCATAAAACAGCCCAAATAAGCAACACTGCTGCAGCCCAAATCTCAGAACAGGCTCAGCCCTCCAGGACCATCCAGTAGCAGTACGACAGCCCCAATCAGTCACAAAGCCACAGCCCAATCCAGTACAAAAATCACAGCCCCGTCCAGTAATATAACCACAGCCCTACCCAACACTGCTACACCTGTTCATAACGCCGAACCTGGTACAAAGAAGTCTGTTATTTTTAGCAGCCAACAAACACACAGTGGTTGTCCTCAATGATGAAAAAACGTGAAGAAAGGGGCTTTGGGTTGGCAGACACAGACCTTGTTTCTAACATGAGTGACTCCACCAATAAGGAGGACTTTCCAACGGAAAACGATATATCCGTGGCTGTGAATGACAGTACTCTTCCCATTGATCTTGATGAGCCACCTGATATAAAACGGCTGCTGCCAGGAAGAAGAAAAAGAACCTTGCAAACCCACGATCCCCATACGCAAAGCGGCTTGCAAGGCTTCCCATTCCAGCCAAAATAAACATGCAAAATTGAAACAAGTCATGCTGGCGTCTGCAGAATAGGAGGGTTTGGTCTATGTCCCCACTGTTGCAGAATTCGTGGGAAGAACTGACTCTACTTGTCCAGTTTCAGAGGTTTGTAGAATTATCAGGGTGCTAGGCACTAGCTATTCAAAGCGGTTTGTCGTGAGTTAATTAAACGGTACAAACCTAAACTTTTAGCTATATTTGAGCCAAGGATTAGTGGTGTCCTGGCCTCTACCATCATTTAGCAGCTAGGCTTTACAAATTCGGCTACTGGTTTTTCTGGGGGGTATTTGGTTACTTTGGTCTGATGCTTGTGTTTCAGTTGAAGTTTTGATTAACCACAGATAATTCATGCATACAAAGATTAAGTTGGAAAGCATGTAATTCTTGTTTACAGCCGTATATGTTCATCCTATGGGAAATGTCAGAACTCAACTATGGAATCAATTAAGAAATCTGGCTGACACTATTTTTGTAACATGGGTGTTAGGGGGAAATGCTATGTTACATAGAACAGCAATGCCTTCTCCTCCTGTCTAAACGATTGTGGCTTAATTGATTTGGCTTTACAGGTCCCTTATATACTTGGCAGAGAGACAGAGTACAAGGGAGGATTGATCGGGTAGTATGCAATACTGAGTGGCAGTTGGTCTTCCGAATGCTGAGGTTAACCATTTACCTCGGCTAAAATCAGATCGTAGACCTATTCTCCTACGCCTTGATAAGGGCAACAGACCGGCTCTGAACTCCAGCAAGTTTCGTTTTCATGCTGCTTGGTTAACTCGGCCTGACTTTGGCGATTTTGTCAAGTATGCATGGAAATTTTATGCTACCTTTCCAGTAGCCAATGATGAATTTATGGCTGCTGTCAAATGCTGGAACACGAATTGCTTTGGTAATATATTTAAAAACAAGAGAAGACTCCTGGCTTGTTTAACTGGTATTGAGAAAGTCCTATCTATCACCTCTAATCCTTTCCTCGCTCATCTTGAAAGTCAACTAAGAAAGAAATATGAGGACATTTTATTACAGGAAGAATACTTGTTTCAAAAATCAAGGTGTGATTGGTTAGCCTATGGTGATCGGAACACTTGAGTACTTTCATACAATGACAGTTTATCAAGAAAAGAACAGCAAGGGTGGGGAGACTAAGGGATGAAGCTGGCAACTGGTGCAAAGATGATAATCAATTGTGCTCTTTGATTCTTCGGTACTGCAATAATCTCTTTACAGAGGAGTCTCTAACACGTATTGATCTCTTTGTCCATGATCTCTTTCCAAGGCTGTCCGATGCCTTACTACAACCACTTTATTCTAATATGGAAGAGATCAGAGTGGCTCTGTTTGATATGAAGCCTTTTTTTTTAAAGCTCCAGGGGGTGGATGGTATGCGTGCGGCTTTCTATCAGGCACAATGGCACAAGGTTGGCAAATCTCTATGCAGGTTCATTCAGCAAATTTTCAGGCATGAGATACGGGATCCTTCTTTGACAAGAGCTCTTTTGGTTCTGATTCCCAAGGTCAAGGTGCCAGAGACAGTTGCTCAATTCCGACTTATTGGGCGGTGTAATGTGTCCTCCAAGGTGCTCATTGTGAATCGATTGAAGACTATAGTCCCTTCAGTCATTGCTCCAACTCAAGTTAGCTGTGTCCCAGGCAGGAAGTTAACTGACAATATCATTATTGCTCAGGAAGTTATTCACTCGATGCATAAGAAAAAGGGTAGAAGAGGATGGATGGCCATCAAGATTGATTTCGAAAAAGCCTATAATAGACTCGGATTTGATTTTGTGCTTGATACCTTGAAGTGAGGGATGGTAATTGGAAACCAATTTATTTGAGTAAAGACGGGCTTCCTATCTCTCATCTTTTCTTTGCTGATGATCTCATTTTGTATGCTGAAGCTGAAACTGAACAACTGGGAGTAATCATGGATGTTTTGCACAGGTTTTGCTCTATCTCTGTAAGAAAGTAAATATAGCAAAGACAAGAATGTTTTGCCTTGCCAATGTCCCGCATGGTAAAGCCAGGATACTTAGTCAGAACTCAGGCTTTTGCATAGGAGTGCCTCTTCATCGTAGTCATGTTAATGTCTACTTATAAGCATTTGACAAGGTCAGCAAGAGGTTATCAGGTTGGCAAACAAGGCACCTCTGTCTAGCGGGTCGAATCACCCTGACTCAGTCTGTTCTATCAGCTATCCCTGTTTACAGTGTGCAAACCATAAAATTACTTGCTGCCACTATCAATGCCATTGACAAAACTTTGTGTGGGGAAGCTCGAAAAACCCATCTTATCTCCTGGGACAAGGTTTGCCGGCCAAGAAGGGAGGGTGGAATTGGGTTGAGAAAGCCAGCTTATGCCAATGATGCCTCAATTAAGAAGATTGGGTAGGGAATAATTTCAAACAGTACTTCACTTTCGGCAAGTATTTTATGCAACAAATATAAAATTGCTCTTCAGCCGACTCTATTATCTATCTCGCGTAAAGGTTCTCTTCTAATCTATGGAGAAGCATTAATTCTCAGGTGTGGAAGAAAGTATGTGATGGCATTTCTTGGTCAGTTGGGAATTGTAGCCGCGTTAGATTCTGGTCTGATGCGTGGGTTCCAAACGTATTTTTCAAAAATTCTGATTTTTTTTCAAAAATAGATTGGATTTTTCCAAATATATTTGCAAAACTTTAACTTAAAATGGGAAGAACTGAATTTTTTGGAGAGGTAGGTGAATTCTAAAAATTATAAGATGAACTAAATTTTAGTAAAAAAAAAATTTAAAACTCAAATCCGAAAGCTGATTTTTAAATGAATTAAAATTCTATAGAAATTTAGCTTATTTAATCCAAATAAAATAAAAATAAAAATAAGGGCAAAATAGCCTTTTCAACGGTCACTTGTATTACACGTAAGATGAGATGAGGAAACATGCTTTCGCAAGGAATAATGGCTTCACCTTTGATCCAGGCCATGATAATAGAATTTTTAAACAGCGCTATATTCTAACAATTTACAGAACCGCACCTTGTTTCTACGAATGAACGAAAGGAAGGGGTCATGACATAATTAAAAATCAAAGGCTCGTCAGCATTCTTGGAGAATAATCATTACCAGAAAAGAATGGCTACCGAAGCCAGTTCAAGTTGATTTCCTTATGCACCTTTATCTCCAGAGATGGAAGGCAAGTTTTGAAATGCTCCCATGACCTGGCAGTATCTTCATCACCTATAACTTCTGTTAGGCGGACAAGATTCGTAACTGATGATGGCAATTCACAACTTGAGCACTCTATCATGTACAACTTTCTCAGATTATGCAACTGACCAATCTGGTCTGGCAATTCTGTAATACTTAAGCAGTCGGATAAGTCAAGAATCCGCAACTTATGAAGTCTCCCGATTGTGTCAGGTAATTCTGCCAATTCGATGCAGGCGTTGAGTCTTAGGACCTCCAAATCAAGTAAATTTCCCATGTCTTCTGGCAGTGCTAACAGTTTATGACAGTTTGTGATGCTGAGGTTTCTTAGCAAGACAAGATCACAGAATCCTGTAGGCAATTCCTCCAGATCATTGCAGTAGTCGATGGTGAGCTCGACTAAATTTGGGAATGCATCTGAAATTTTGATGGCAGAGTTATCAAAAGCTTGACCAATATTGCACATAACCAAGGACATTTTTTCTAGCTTCCTCCATTGCATGGAAGTCAGGAAAAAGGATGGAATGGAAACCTTTTCCAGTCTTATTCTCTTTAGATTTGATAGAGAACCATGAACAGGGAAATTGCTCAATTGAGCAGGAGCAAACCCATAATTGTTAAGTATTAAAACTTTCAGCTTATTCATTCTTTCCATGAACTCAGGCAATGAGTAGTTCTCCGTCAGAAAATTCAGAAGTAGAACCTCAACTTCTGGTGCTTGCAAGTTGGACCAACTTGATGAGAATGTTTCATCTGCAAAAAAGGTGAGCAAAATACATAGAATCAAATTGGATGTGTCTGCGCATGCATTGTGCACAGGCCAGACTCTCTTTGTATTAGGAAAGTTTAGAGATGAATTACCTGTTGAGATAGATAAGAGTTTGGCCCCAATTGATGGCTGATTTTGTTCCATCAACCACTCAGGGATTTTGTTATCAGTTATGTCCAAGAACACTCGCTTCCTGTGCTCAATGGTTCTTGCTTCGCTTTCACGGATGGCCAGCTCTCTGAGCAGATCATGCTGAGTGACAAAGTGCTCATTATAGGAGCCGTCGTCTTCTTTTGCATCTTTCCTGGTGAATGACAGGCATTCTTGACAAGGTATCCACTAAATAGTACGCAAGTTAACTGAAATGAATAACATAAGTGGAGTCCTAACGCCTACAGAAATTGCAAGCAAAATTATTGAAGCTGGTCATCCATCAGAACAAGCCAGAAAGATTACACGACCAAGTAATTAAATTCCTCATAAACCAAGTTGGTAATGGTTTTGTTCTTCTAATATTTTCCAGGATAATTGATTTTATATTTAAAGTTCTATATGGTAGTAGGATCCATATAATACTACTCCATAGAATTGACCTTTGATGTGAAGATCCAACATGCTATTAATAGAATGAGACCCTCGCCATGAAAATGCAAATAAGGGTTCATAGCTAGCATACCTTGTAACTAAAACTTCAACCAGATTCCTCTTAGAGAGTGTGTGGAGATTGGTAATGGCATCATCTTCATCTAGGTTATACAATTCTGCCCACATATCAATAAGGGTAGTGGCAGGAATCCTCTGATCTTCAGGAAATGAACCAAGGTCCTTGAAACATTCCTTGGCTACTACATTATCACTCAAGCCTTCCACACTGCTTTGAAGACAATCTAGCACTTCAGAGTCAGAAAGAATAGAAGCAGCTGTAGAGCATTCCTTAAGTCTCCTACGCCATTCTGCCGCAGAATTCTGATACAATGATTTTGCAACCACTGAAATGGCTATAGGAAATCCCCTGCAGTATTTCACCATCTGCAATTGAATGCCAAGACAAAAATCAGTCATTCCTTGCACAGGTGTAGGGCAGCAACAAACTAAAATAAAGTTGCACGGAGGTAACACACAGATTGTTTCTGAAAGGTATAAAATGTTTCTTACTTTTTTTCTATAGTTGTAAAAGTATAAGACATCATCCCCATAGTAAAGTTACAGGTTCAAAACACATGGTTTGAGAATTTTTATCTCAACAATCTGATAGCAGTTGATAAGACAATAGCACAAGTTCATGCAAATTCAGAGAGTCATAACTTTTGACACAGAATATTTGTTCACTTTGTATGCATGAATAAGGTTAAAACCAAATAACAATGAGCAAATAAGCATTCGCTATTGCAGGTTGACAAAGCACCTCTTCTAGCATATGTTGATCTGGATTATATGATCGCTCATCTAATGCCAATTTCTGAAATAGAATCATGGCATCTGCAAAAGTCAATGTTTTCAATTTATATGTGGATCCAAAACGTGGAAATTCATATCTTGATGTCACTAAAATCTTGTAATTTTCTATTCGGAAATTGATTTTGTAAAGGAGAGGTTCCGATCCGGGCCAAACATCGTCAAGGACCAATAATATTGGATCTGGTCCTATCTGCTTGAATAAACGTTCCAAATGGTTAGCTGCATCTTCCTCGCTTAGAGATTCAGGTAACTCGCAATCCTTATGCTGGAATATTTTCTTCACAATGACCAGCAGGTTGCGCAGCTTTGGAACGTTGACAAAGAAGATGTTGTTCTTGAATTTATCTGCAAAGTCATAAAAAAGAAAGCTGTAATGATATTTCTTCAGAAATTCTTACGGTTTCGCATATAGCTAAAGAAAAAGGGAATACAAGAGCCTTCTATGTGAAACTCCAAATTCAAGTCCGCAGGGAAACTAAAGGCAAAATGTGGGAATTACTTCATTACTCTGCTAAAAACTTCAAAGCAATGAACTGTGTCTAAAATATTATAAATAAGAATTTCGAACCAATACATTTGCTTATCTCAATCAGTAACAGCTCCACAATTCTGCAGAAACACAGAGTCTTTATGTGTGGTTACAGTTCAACATGACAAAGTCATCCCTTTTTCTTTATTGAAAAATGAAGAATTCAACAGGAGAATGTACATGAAGCTCAATAGAGATACACATCAGATCACATTAAAAAAAAAAAGAAAGAAAAAGGAAAGACAATAACAATTTACCTCAGATACTAACAGATGCCAGGCAATGAATGTGCCTGGAGAATACCCTGAACAGTAGAGAAACATCATGAAACCTTTTCAGGCACTAAAGGTCAACTTTGTTCAGATACGCTATTCTGTTTGCAAAATTGATTGCCTAGCATGAACCTAGCACCTTTTACAACAGATGTCCTAACTAAAACACTCTCTTACCAACAAAAGGGGATACAAAAAACCGGACCAAAAATAAGCACAAGAAATAAAAAGACAAAAAGAGGTAATCAAATGAATTGTCAAGTAGTAAATGGGTACCTTTAACATCCCCATGTTGACAAATCGCTGTAGCCAACGTTGTCTTTCCACATCCTCCAGGAGCAGATAACACAATATGCGGTGATGCCTCCTTTTTAAGCAGCTTTATCCTCAATTCACTCAATGGAATCTCCAATCCGACAGGATCCACTTTCAGTTGAGGGGGTGAACACACACCAGCTAAACTAGTATTAGCATACCTCTTGCTGGAGATCACCCTATCACCACTGCTTAGACTCATGCTTAACTGCCCGATTTGATCACTTAACTGTCTTACCCCAAAAGAAGCATCTTTGACGGCAACCAAAGTCGAATTTTGTGTAAGCAAAATCTCTTTTGTATCTGCTGTTACCTGAACCTGCAAAACACTGCTAATATAATCACGAATAGCCTTCTCTAACTTGAGAAGTTTCTTGTTATAAAGAGGCCTCTTCACACAGTTGTATCTGTGGACTTTTGAGCATTTAAGGACCAACTCATTGCCCTTTGTCATTAATCCTTTGAGCCATTCGATTTCCTTCGGTCGATCAAGATCTCTGTTGAAAGTTTCTATTTTCTTGATATTTGGAGCCATTGCATATAACATTTCCTCCAGGCGCTTCAAGCTTGACTTGAACTGGGAGTTGTGTCTCTGTACATCCAAAACAAGCTTTAAAAAACGATCAAAAACTATCTCCAAACCAGCCCCAGTAGCAGCTGATGCGATCATTTCGCATGCCATGGCTTCTCTTCCAGAGGGAAAAACCAGCTGGTTCTTGGAAAACAACTAGTGAGGAACTGAAGTAAGGAGGAAACTGGTTTTGGACTGTCTTGGATAGGTGGAAATGTTTTCCAGGGAACAAAGCAACGCATTATTATATGGAATTCAGGTTTGGCTTTTCAACGCTTCGAAATGGAATTCAGATTGGTGAACATACAAACGCGTGGTGTTATTATTCTTTTTTTATTTTTTTTTAAAGAAAGTTGATTGGTTCAAGATCAAAGGAAGCTTAGCTCCTAATCTTTAAAACTTGTGACTTTGGTCGTCAGTGCTTCTAGTGGGTTTTGAAATGCCAGCCTTTTCCATGGTTTAATTTATTAACAAATACAATCTCATTGCAGTCTTCGAGATCGTTTAGGAAAAAAAAAAAAAATCTTAATTGAAATATAAATTGATGCAATAATATTCTTACTGCACAACAAAAAAGAAAAAAAGAAAAACCTTTCTCTAATTATATGGTATGATAATGCACTTTTGGCATGGAAATTAAATATTCTCTTTAATTATATATTAGTCCTTATAGTTTTGCCATGGAAATTAAATATTCTCTTTAATTTGAAATTTTAATTAATTAAATTCTTAATCAATATAGACTATGCTTAATTTAGTATTATTTTGTTTTAAAAATTGTCTTATATTCTCATAATCTTTTTATATTATTTATATTTTCTTCATAAAAAAAATTAAAAAAAATAAAACGAACAAAAAGGCTAACTAATTAGATTTCAAAGATAAAAAAAAACTATTTAATTTATTTTAAAAAACTAAAAATATTAATTTGTAATTTACATGTTGAAGAGTATGAGTAATTAGTAAACTTGTAAATGGCCGTTGTTTGCGGTCAGGAATTTCATGGCAGCTTCCTCCTCATATATACCATTGAACTTTCACTCTTTTGGCTCGTTTTTAGTTTTTTATTGTCCGTTTTTCCTCTTTTGAATAAATAAATTTTGACTGATTAAAAAAATCATACAAATCTTTTATAATTTTTTAGTTTATTTTATTTATTTTAAAATCTTAAGCTAAACATCTTGCATGTTCAAAGTTGTTTGGCACCTAATAAGTAAGGATTCATGTCTGACCTCGTCAGCAATATATATATATATTAAACCTGGAGCTTTGAGCTTTGAGATAAGCTTTAAGTATTTGTCTTTTGCTTAAATCGAATCTAACATAGTTAAATTGAATGTATTTTTAAAATTATTAGAAAAAGATTTAGTATTTATGAACGTGCAAACTGATTAAAAAAGCTAAAAAGATTTTTCTCTATTTATATGTTAATTATGATAATGCGTTTTTGGTTAGGGTTGTCGAAAGAGTCGATTATAAATATTAAATAGTCCTTCTAGTTTTTCCACGCAAATTAAATAGTCCCTTAAGTTTTAAAAATTAATTAATTAGTCCCTTAACTTTTATATTATTTTTATTTTTTTAATAATTTTTCTATTTGTTTAAAACAAAAAAATGAATTAAAAATATATAAAACAAATAAAAATGACTAATTAATTGGATTTTGAAACTAGAAAAACTATTTAATTCATTTTGAAAAACTTTAAATAATAATTTATGATGTACTCATTGTTGAAGTATTTCATTCTGCAAAAGGTAATGTTTGGCAATAAAAAATGAAATAGTTTCATTTTCATGGAAGGAGGTGAAAATAAAAATAAAAATTAAATATAATTTTTTAAAATATATTATTATTATAATTAAACTATTATTACTATAATTTCTTCCTTTTCTACTACAACTATAATCATCATTATCATTTTTACTAGTATTATAGTTGATGCAATTATTTTTTTAATTATTATTCTTATTGATCTTAAAAATTAAATAACTAAAATTTTAAATTTCATTTTGATTTTTATTTACTATTCTTAGCATAGTACGCAAATATCAATGCCATTTTCATCTTTAAACTTTTTTATTTTTGATAACCAAAGCACCCCAAAGGGCAAGAGTAAACTTGCAAACGGCAGTTAAGTCAACGGTTAACGTAGGTGGGGCATGGCATGGCATAGGTGCAATTAGGAATTTCATGGCAGCTTCCTCCTAATACCACTGAACTTTCACTACTCTTTTACTGTGGGCGGCTGTTGTTTTCAGCTTTTTATTGCTCGTTTGTCCTCTTTGGCCTGGGGATTAAATAAATATTACAGGGAGTTTCCAAGAAGGATGGTCTACTGGAGCATCGTCGACGATGCTCTCTCTATTTGTAATTAATATTTTTAATATAAATACTCTATTTGTAATTAATATTTTTAATATAAATAAAAAATATTATTAATTATATATATTAAAGATTAATATTCTCTTCAATGTTATTCTCTACTTTAACTTTTTATTTTGATAAAATCCATAAAATCCAAAAACTATTGATGAAGATTCTAAGTGGCGATAGAAAATAGTAATTTTTATTAATGAAATATAAGATAAAGAGTCATTTGGATTTTCTAATATTGCAGAATCAAAGATACTCGTATCTCAATTTTAAATATAAAAATTATGATAAAGAGAGTATTGAAGATGAAATTTTAATCAAATCTCTTTCTTATAAAAGAAAAACTTAATATAAAAATAGCATTGAAGATGCTCTTCAAGGTCGTCATTAGTGACTCTTAGCAAGATAAAGATAAAAACAAGAAGAAGCAGACTTCGTGCTTCTTCCTGGTTAGAGACAGTTGACTTGACTTCTAATCCCAATTTAAGAGCTTCACGGTGTTTTCGTTGATGCTTATATTAATTATATTAGCCAAAAGTGAATGATATTAACACCAACTTTTGGATTTCTAAGAAAAATCAAAAGAAGTAAAATAATCCACTGTGCAAGAGCCACGCTTCTGTAGGCATGCATGTCAACCATCAAAGAGGCTTTTCGGGCCCCATAAGCTCCTTATCAATCTGGACTACAGAGGAAAAAACCCCAGGACAGAAGTTGCTTTCAAAATGGCAGTGGTTAGAAGGATCGCAGGTGGTGGAAAGACACGAAAGCAGCGTTAAGAATCCCTTTCACTGGATGGACATTGTCTCCAACTTGTCAAAATGTATGACTCTGCACTTCCTTTGTTCTTTCACTGTCGGAAATTCCTATAATTTAAATTTTTTATGCTATGCTCTTACGTAACAGTGCTTCATAAGTGATGTAATGACTGTCAATAGTTTTGTTTTGACTGCTGAAGGAAGGCTGTTTCGAGAAACGTTGAGTTTGAGGGCTTAAAATCCTAAAGCTGGGGGAGTTCCATGAAATTATAAAAGTGGAGCATACTTCTTTATTTTTGTAATGAGAGATGCTATTCTTAACATAGATGAATAGGTCTTAATTTTACCTTTGGAGTAATTAATGGGATTAGCTTTCAATGGTTACTTGTGAACAAAGTAAGGGAAAAAAAAAAAAAGAAAAGCAAAAAGAAAGAATGGTTTTGACAGTACTATACTCAGGATTGATTGGCCATTGATTTTGGATCCTTTGTATGAATTTCAAATAAAATTGTGTTTAATGATAGATTTTATCCCAGGACCTAGTTAAATTTGGGATTTTCCCTGTGCCAATTTCTTCAACTCTTTGATTCCCAGCTAATTCTCGCACACTTTTGATTCATTGCAATCAATTTTGGATATGTAATGGAAGTACTTGCTAATTGTTTGTTCGGTGAAATTCGTGGGTTTCACTCTTGAAAATAATCAAGTCTTCTTTTTTCTTTTCTTCATTAAAACTTAATGTTCGTGTTAGAGAATAACATAAATTATATGTTATGGTCTTACTTAACGGTATTTTTGGATAAGATATGATGCAGACTGGTGTTGAAATAGTCATGGTAGCAACAAACTTGTTTCAACTTTTGAGGTCTTGATTTCTAGCTTGTCTTCGTTTTCTTCGGTTTGATTCTTTCCTTTGTATGGTTTGTTAGTTACTTTAGTTAGTGTTTCTTTCAAATTGCATTAGAAAATAAATTTAAGAGAAAACAAGAAATGTGCTACATGCCATTAAATTAGAGTATCTTGTCAGAACATATATGCTTTTTGAAGTCAAGCATGTATGCTTACTCCATGTCTCGGATAATGGGAAAGAAGAAAGGGATTATGGGTCTGATTGATGAAGAAGCAAACAAAATTCTTTACATTAGTTTATTAACAAATTGGAGGGAGATATACTGTTCCAAATCAATAGTATGTGAAAAATTAAAAGTGATTGGGATTCCTGAGAGTAAGAAGTGCACATTTCCATTGAAGAGAAGGATGGAATATGTTGTTGCTGGTTTTGTTGCAGAGAAAGTATTAGGGGAGTTGCTAAAATCTGTGAAGGAAGCAATGAAGAAGAAGAAAAAGTTAGAAACTACCTTGAAGAGTATGGAATCCAAGCTCAACTCCATAATTCCAGTCGTCAAAAGCATAAATGAGTTAAACATAAAGTTGGATCGTGAAGATGAGGACATGGGGAGATTGTGGAAACAAATAAAAGAAGGGCAGAAACTTGTTAGGGAGTGCTCAAAAGGAAGCCGTTGTCGTGCTTGCTTTAAAAAGCCTAATTGCACTGAGGAACTTCGCGATTTGGATAACTCACTTAAAACGTTCTATGATTTTGTTTTACCATTGAAAGAAGCAAAGATTCTGATTGAAACTAGGGAAGATGTCCAAGAAATTTTGGACAAGGCAAAGCGCATTGATGAGAAGGTGGAACTTACACATGGTGAGGTTAAAGGCATTCATAAAGAGCTCCAAAGCCGAAAGAGCCCTGCATCTTTGCCTTTGTATCTACCTCCCGACCCACCAGCGATTGTTGTCGGATTGGACAAGCCATTGAAGGATTTGAAGACAGAACTGGTCAAGAATGGATTCTCCGTGGTATTAATTACTGCTCCTGGAGGATATGGAAAGACCACGTTGGCTAAAAAACTTTGTCACGAAGAAGATATTAAAGGTACTGCTTCAATTGTCAAATAGTTTTCTTTATTTAGTTTTTCATTATAAACATTCAGTAATTTAACCACAATTTTGAAATTTGATAGTTCGTTTTCTTCGTTAACAATTTGAACATACTTCGACAGGTGGTGCCTTTTCCATCAGATTTAACAACTATTACATTCAAACATAATTTTGATTTTCAAGGTTGTGAGATTTTTTTTTTGGGTTTTAAACCTTTAAATCTTTTCGATAATAAGAAATGTTATTGGCAGATATTAGCGACATGAACTATTTCCATAAGATTAATAACTATTACATTCAAACATTATTTTGATTTTTCAAGATTATGTGATGTTTTTTGGGTTTTAAATCTTTATATCTTTTCAATAATAAAAAATGTTATGGGCGGATATTAGGAACATGAACTGTTTCCTTCCCAACGATTTGGAACCTTTTTTTCTTTTTTTCCAACCAAATTGCTTCATGTATATCCACCTCTGTGTATTTCATGTGCTTGGGATTAGAAAGTTAATATAAGTGGTTTCAAATTTATGAACCTTTGTATACTTTGTAGAGAAAACCAACTTTTAATGGTGTTTGAACAGGGAAATATAAAGACAACATCTTCTTTATTACTGTCTCCAAAAGACCAAACCTGAAGGTAATTGTACAGAATCTATATCTGCGTATGGGATATTCACATGTGCCTGAGTTTCAAAGTGACGATGATGCTGTCAACAACTTGGAGCAACTGCTGAAGCTAACAACGCCCAATCCTATACTGCTAGTCCTGGATGATGTTTGGCCCGAATCGGAATTCCTCATCGATAAACTCAAGTTCCAGATTCCAGATTACAAGATTTTGGTGACCTCAACATGTGTGTTTTCGAGATTTACTTCTACTCACAAGCTGCAGCCATTGAATGATGTAAATGCCACGGTTCTTTTCACTAGCTCAGCAATTTTACCACATCTGAGCTCTTACATTCCAGATGAAAGTATCTTGAATAAGGTGCTTTCTCGATCTCTCAGAATATGCAGTTATATACTCGATCTCTAACGGGAAAATCAAATATAGAGGAATGTAGTTCCATACCATTTTCCGCAACCATATTTGTGTACCTTTGCTAGTAGTCATGCTTTCTATCAAACCTGAGAAGAAAAAAGTTTATAATACCAATGCATGATTTATTTTTTTTGGATGTTGTATGATTGTATCTCCTTGATTTTAGGATATGTTTACTTGAATTGTACGCCTAAAAAAGATAAAATCCTTAGATCAACTTATAAGGCCCTGCATTTTATTTGTACTTTATCAGATAGTGAAAGCCTGTAAGGGGAATCCACTGGCGCTTACAGTTGTTGGAAGATCATTGTGTGGGCAACCTGCAGTAGTCTGGCAAAATACTGTGATGGAATTGTCTAAAGGTGGTTCTATTGTCGAATCAAACGCTACTCTGCGTGATTGTCTTCAACAAAGCTTGGAAGTCTTGGATAATAAGGTCAACGTGAAAGAGTGTTACATGGACCTAGTTTCATTTCCTGAAGGCCAATGGATCCCTGCCACTGCTCTCATAGATATGTGGGTGGAATTGTATGATCCAGATGAAGATGGAGTGAATTCTGTTGCCATGCTCCATCACCTTGACGCCCTGAACCTTGTTAATCATGAAGTGGGAAGGTAATCAGACGCTATTTTTCTCTCTTCTGTGACAATCTTTTCCTACTGGTTAATTTTCTTAGTGCAGCAGTTTAAAGGAGTTTCTGGAGGTGTTAATATTCATCTTTGGAAGTCTTAATTAACCTTTAGCCATCTGATGCGAGTGGGAGGATAGCCAGATTATATTAAATTTGGCCTTCATTTCTTCATATAGGATGATTGTGGCAGATAAATAGAAAGAAACTAGAGTTGGATGAATATAGAACTGACAGGGTATTCAAACTGTTCTTATTTTTCATATTTTTGTTGTTAATTTAACTGGTACAGGAACTCCATTGATATCATTAAAGATAGAGTGCAATAGCTTCTCAAATTTGGTTATCATGCTATTCCATCTATTAGATGTCCACAAAATGGAATTTTCTCTTAAAACTATTGTTAGAATATCTTGCTAAGTGGACGGTTGTTTCCATTCAAATTTTAGTAGGAAAGATAACGGTGAAATCGACGGCTACTACAACAACCACCATGTTATGCAGCATGATCTTCTTCGACAACATGTCAATGATCAAATCAGCTCAGAGCCTGTCGAACAAAGGAAACGACTGATCATAGATATAAGTGGAAACAAACTTCCAAAGTGGTGGAGGGAACAACGAAAGCAACACCTCAGTGCCTGCCTCTTATCTATCACTACAGGTTCATATCTGTTATCCCAATGCTATTTTGTCATGCAACCAAGCTAACTGAAAGGCAAGTTACAATGTTGTTGATAAGCATGTGATAACTTAAAGTCAGCCATCTTTTATTCCTCTGACGTCATACCGACATCATTTTTACAGATGAAACGTTTTCACTGAAGTGGTCTAACATGCAAGCACCTGAAGTTGAGGTTCTAATTCTGAACGTTCGATCAAATAACTACATGCTACCTGAGTTTGTGAAGAAAATGGATAAACTAAAGGCTCTCTTAATCACAAACTATGGTTTTGTGCCAGCTGAAATAAGTAATTTCCCACTTCTTTCTTCTCTGCTCGATCTGAAGAGAATTAGGCTGGAGAAAGTTTCAATTGCATCACTTAGCTTGTCCTCTCTGGAACTGAAAAAGCTGCAAAAGATTTCCTTAGTTATGTGTAACATTGGTCAGTCTTTTACTAACTCTAGAATTCAGATATCAAGTTCCTTCTCAAACCTGTCTGAGATCAGCATTGACTGTTGTATTGATCTGAAGAACCTTCCTGATTGGTTTTGTGATCTCGTTCACCTAAAGAAACTCAGTATCAGTAGCTGTTGGGAGCTGTCTGAACTTCCCAAGGAAATTGGTAAGCTGGTGAATTTAGAAGTGCTTACCCTTCACTTCTGTATTCAATTGGTAGAGTTGCCAAAAGCTATCGGGAACTTGTCGAAGTTGAGTATTCTTGACATATCTGACTGCGCAAACATCAGTCGCTTGCCAGAACAGATCGGAGGGCTACGTAATTTAAGAAAGCTATACATGAAAGGGTGCTCAATTTCAGAGCTGCCGTTGTCAGTTATGGATCTTAAACGTTTAGAAATTGTCATGTGTGACGACGAAGCTGCCATTTTGTGGACATCTTTCATCCAAGAGCTCCCAAATCTAAAGATTAAGGCTCGGTAAGGAGGATAGATTCTATAACTGCGTGTGTGATTGCATATATGTGGGCAAAGTAATCAGACTTAATGTATCATGTTGTCATCATTGTAAAATGTGAATACATAAAAGACAGATCAAGATTTCTTAAATTAACTTCATATGAAAACATGTGTTAATTTTTAGTAGCTATCTGATATTTATCCATTTTGATAAGTTTTCCTGCTCCACTCCATGAACAGGTCCCAGTTTCCAAGTTCTTTTTTGATGCTGATTCCTCAAAAATTTGTTTGGAAAAGCCCTTAGCCTATGTATACTAAGGAATCAACTCTAGAAAGGTTACTTCCACATGTTCATAGGCAAAGTGTACAGAAGTTACTTCCACATCATGTCCAAGGCTACTAGAAGTTTCTCTTTCTAATTTAGATTTCGAGATATCAATGGAAGCAAGTGTCAGAATTTTATGTTAGACTTAGAAGCTGTCCATGATTTATTGAAGCTGAAAATTTTAGTTGCTGATGTAATTAATCTCAGCAGTAGTAGTGTTTCTGCCAATGGCAATAGTGGAGGCAGTGGAATTTACAGCAGTGATTATTACATCACAAACAAACTAAAGTAAAATTATTTAAATATTATTTTAGAAATATATAAATATGTGAAATTATAGATTGTGTTGAAACGATGAATATATGGATAAGAAATAATATTTTAATTATTATAGGTTTGATCATTTCCTTTCGTACTTGAAGATTCTATCCACGTGATCATGGGGAAAAAAAAAAACAATAATAACAACAAGGACAATTTTAATCTGAGTAAATTGTAAATTAGCCATTTAGTTTAGGTAAATAAATTAATCAGTTCTTATTTTAAAAATTAATTATTTAATTTTTTATTAATTTTGATCATATTTAATTTAATATTATTTTATTTCATAAAATGTAATTTATTATTATCGACCATTTTCATATCTTTAACTTTTTTTTTCTATTTTTAAGATAAAAATAAAAATAATTTGAAAATGAGTAAATAGACTGAGTTACAAAAAAAAAATTTAAAATTTAAAATTAAATAATTATTTTTTAAAACAAAAGAGACTGATTCCTTTGTTTTCCACCGCTAGAAATACTAATTTTTTATTTTTTATTTTAATAATGATCGACAAGTTAAAGAAATGAAACCCATTTGGCAATGGGGCTGGTCAAATAAAATTCTCACATCCGTTATTTTCAATAGTTGAGGGACTCAACCTCGAATTAGTTGAAATTTAAGGGTAGTTTTTGACTAATTTTGACCCATTTGGGATTTCTTTTCTTTTCTTTTCTCAGGGAGAGAATCCGAAACTTAAGAGTGATCATTTAATCATTCATCATTTCTCAGCAACACTTTTCATCTTCTTCCACTCCTCTGTAAGTCTAGAAAACCTCTCAAAGTCTAGAAAAACTGACCCATAACTTTAAAAGCCATGGCCTTGCATTTAGAGTCCAGCATAAACCGAAAGAAAAACAAAATGACGAGTGAAACATTGCTTGTTAAAGGCAACAAAGTAGAAGTCACCAGTGATGAAGAAGGGTTTGGGGGAGCATGGTACATTGCAACAATAGTAAAAACTTCTTCAAAAGCACAGAAAGGCAAGATCTTGGTTGAGTACGAGTCATTACTTGCTGATGATGAAAAGAGTCCGTTGAAAGAGTACATTGATGCTTCCTTGATTAGGCCTTTGCCACCAGAAGCCAAAAAGTTCAAACCTTTTGAAGTTTTTGATGTTGTTGACACTTTTTTCAAGGATGGCTGGTGGAAAGGTGTTATTTCTGAAGTTCGTGATTTGGGAGGGGAGGACGATAAGAAGACCGCGGCATACACTGTTGTTTTTGAAAACCCACCTGACCAAATTGAGGTTGGACCTTCAAGTTTGAGGCTTCACTTCGATTGGTTTGGTGGTTCATGGGTTAAACCCAGAAAACAAAAGGTTGTTACTTTTTTATGTCTTTGGTTTTAAATTCTTGTTTTGAAGCATGAATGCATCTGGGTTTTGGTTTTTATGAGCTTTTTGTGAGAAAGTTGTTGTCTTTATTAGTGTTGGTTCAAGGAAAATTTCTGATGCTTTGATTTTTAAGTACTGGGGAAATAGCTGCATACAAAAAGGCTTGATGTTTTTAATTTTCATTTGTTTAAGGTTGAATGTTTTGTTGCTTTATGACTTTGTGTCTCGTGGGTTTTGAGCTGTTCTGTGAATATAATTTTACAGAATGCCCTTTTTTTACAATTTCCTTGCAATTGGCAAGGGAGAGATGGAAATTGCCTTGTTACCTACATCAGTTTGCGTCCTCTGTAATATAGTCAATCAGTAACATACTGTTTAGCTACAACTATGCTTTGATGCTCTTTTGTTTGCCGTTTAGAATTGTTGAAGTTTGGTGGATAGGACATTTTGTAGGCTTTAGGTAATAAAACAGTCCATTCATAGCTAATTTGTTTATTAAATAAATATCACAATTCATGATGTTTAAAATTGTTTATTAAATGCTAAAACTACTATGAAGATTTCATTGTTCTTTAAAATATATATATATATATATATATATATATATTATGTTTGATAATTAGTACATTTTGTTGCACTGTGCCATTCCATTACATTTTGATTCTTGAGACTCGTTATGTTTACTATAAACATTTTGTTCATAACGCTGATTTGGTTTCTTGTTTATTCTAAGAGAATGAAAGGGTTGAAGTTTAGCAAAGGAATGGTTGTAGTAGTGAATATTGATGAAGGAAGTTCAAGTAATGATTGGTTTGAAGCAGTTGTTCTTGAAGAGGTAGGCTTCAATTCTTTCCTGGTGAAGCTGAGTAATTCCGAAGATGACAATGGCCTTATGAAACTAGTAGTAGATTCCTTCCACATCAGACCTCCGCTTCCTAACTTGGAGTCAGAAAATTTTGAACTCTTGGACAAAGTATATGTTTTATACTGCTCAGGTTGGAGGCTTGGCTTCATCAACAAAATTCTTACTGAGGGAAGGTTTAGTGTCATGCTGAAGCATTTAAAGGTGGAAAAGGAATTCTTTCACTCGGACATAAGGCCAAGCATGGATTTCGTAAATGGCAGCTGGGTTCATTATCACAAGGTTTGCTTTCTTCTATTTAGCTTCTCCCAGCTGCAATGTGGGGGTGGTTTCTGCTTCCTTATGAGATTATCAATGGTGCTTTAAATTTATTTATTTTTCGAAATTTGACAATTTAATTGAGCAATTCTTCCTGATCTTTGGTTACATGTATAAATTTAATTTGCTCAAGTGTTTAAATGTCTAGACAACAATATTGCTTTTCTGTAACTTATGTAGGGGGCTCTTTTTCAGGACACAATGAATGGCGGTTATAGTCAAGAATACCCATCACTTGCGAACAATAATGCCAATAGTCTTGAGATAGCTGTTCAGCTCGAAAGTTCAAGTGCTGCCATGTATGACAATAATGAGAATACTCCTTGTACAAATTCAGAGAAGAATCCAATGCAGCACTCGTTCTCTTATGGTGCAACTTACCCCCGTAAAAGAAGAGTTCTGACTGCTTGTAAGAAAGTAAAGAAGACTTCACCTAGCAGTGAGCCTACTCTCTTAACCCTTCGCAAGAAGTCTAGATTGGACAAATGTGCCAACTATTTATCTTCCCTAGAATGTAGTGCAAAGTTATTACCGGTTGAGACACCCAACCAAGGAGCAGAAGTCTCCAGTACCTCACAAACAGAACACGCAATGAATCATGTGGCTTACCAGCAGCCTATCAGTGAATATGAGAGCCCTTTCAGTCAAAAGAATGACGTAAGTGCAACTTTTGCTTTTGGAAACCTTTATTAATTAAATCATTGAAACTAGATAGATAAACAAATTCAATGTTATTTAAGCAGTAAATCAGGTGAAGGCCACTTATTGCTATCATGGTGTTTAATTTAATATCATTGCTAATGAAGATTGATTTTTAGGCACTGGGCAATTTGTTTATGATGTTTAGTGTTGTAGTTTGCTCTATTTGCCACTTGGTCCAGACTAAGTGCCAAAATCTTAGCGCTTTACTGTATGCTGCATTAATGGATAAAATTAGCGATCATCAAGTCTTTTTGATTTCCACAAAGAAGAGTGTTTTGCACCACTTTTCTCCCCTGTTTTGTTTGTTTCTTGACCGCATGTTCATCTTAATGATGCTTTTCATAATATTACAGGAGACTAACCAACAAGAAAATGTACTTGAGGATGAAATGATGATTTCTGCAGAAGTGGGAAGCACACAACCAAGTTCACAACTTACAAGCCAGCTGGTCCAAACAGCAGGTGTACTGATGCTGGAGACCAATCAACCTGAAACTGGAGTCGAGGATGAAATGATGGTTTCAGTGGAAGATGGTGGAGTGTCACCACATTCACAAGCTAAAAGCCAGGTGGTTCAAACAGCTGATGTACTAGTTCAGGAGGCTAATCAACAAGAAACGGAATTGGAGGATGAAACAATGATTTCTGTGGAGGAGCAGATGCCACCGTGTTCACAAGTTGAGGGCCAGCTGGTTCAAATAGCAGGTGTAAAAATGCAGGAGACCCATCAACTTGGAACTGGTATTGAAGATGAGACCATGATTTCTGCAGAAGATGGGGGAATGCAAACACATTTACAAGTTACAAGTCAGCTGGATCTAACTGCAGGTTGGTACCTTTTCTGATTTGATCGGCATTTATTAAAATAATTTTATCTGAAAAATGATGTGCTGTTTATTTATTTATTTATTTTTTTGATAGTTGAAGAGCATAATGTTGCTGGAGTTGGTGCAATTAACACGGACTTAGAAAATCCTGCATCTAAAGAATTTAAATTGCCTACAGGGCTTGTGGAGTCTGTTGGTATGTTGGTCTGTCAACGTGAGACTCTGGACATGAGACAGCAAGTAGAAATGATCGCCCAATATCCTCAAATGGATGCCTCGGTCGATGGTGAGCTAGCAGAGCATCAACTGGTGCCATTTCTGAGGAACTCACCTGTTTGGGACATGGTTGAATCACTGGAAGTTTTCCAAAGAATGCCCCAGAAACCACATTTCAATCCTTTGGTCAAATGCAAAGAGTTTGATCGTGAAGGATCTGCAATTGGAAAGATGGTGCAATTTGCCACAGTGGTTGAGAAGACTTCTGAGTTGCAACTGGGTGACCCTCTTACTGTTTTCAATAGCTATTTGGAAACTCTTGCTGACCTGAAAAGCTATGGATTTGATGTCGAGGCAGTAGTTTATCGTATTAATGGTCTATTGTCAATCAAAGAAAGCCAAGAACAGCTTCAGAGTACATCAAAACAAGTTGAGATTCAGATTGCAGAGTGTACTCGTGACAGAACCAAATTGGAAGAGGATATCGAGGCAGTCAACAAGAAGATACGCAAACTAGAAGAGGAGCGAGGATTGGCCTTGTCAATGAAGGAGAGCAGAGAGTCAGAGATTACTAACTTGCAAATGCAGTCCAGTGGTATCAGTGCAGACATTTCAAAGGCTATTCTTGATTTTGAAGCTCTAGCTACTGCCTCTTGGTGATTTTCATGCTTTTGGCTCTCTTGGGTCCTCTGTTGACAAACGATCTTTTACTAAACATAGGCATGCTTACTTATGACTGCTCTGGGTTTTGTATTAGGCATGTTGTATCTAACCTAAGAATGAACTGTTTAATTGTTATGTCATTGAAAATATTATGGTTGCTCCACATGAGCAAAAATGTAAATAATATTAGGCGAATTGAAACGTCTCGAGGCCTCAGCTTTCTTAAACATGTGGGTGTGATACCGAACCAAAATGAAACCTCACATAGCCATGCCCAGCAGAGCTCATGATGGACTCTATTGCTCGAAGTTTGCAAACTCAACTGTAATGTAGGAACCATGCATAGGGAATGGAGGTAGAATTTTTTGGATTTGTCATCAGTGACTCAGTCTGGATTGATTACGGTTCTGCACGCAAGAAAGTAGTGTTCTAGATGAAGTTGAAGCCATGACTACTTCATGGACTCATGGTAGCTCGAGTGGTCGACTTGCTATATCTATTTGGTGGTTATGTGGCAAAATAAATATTATTATATAAAGAAAAACAAGTTATATATATATATATTTTTTAATAATATTAGCATGTTAGTTTAATGCTAGATAGAAAAATATACTAATTAAGCTTTTATTAATCATGTTAGCATGTGTGATTTTTTTTTTTTTTTGGGGGTTAAAATTCCATTAAAATCTGACGTGGTAGAGAATTTTTATTAATTTTAGTCTTTGTTGTCAAATCCAAATTCCTCATGTGTAAGGTTTTTAGGTGAGCCAGGTTGTTAACCCCCTTGAAAAGCTATTATGCAATATTTAATTCTTTATTTATGTTATTTAAACAAGTTTATGAACCAATTAAAGGATTCATTAAATTATATAATATTCTTATTTATTTTTTTTAAAAAACCGATGTAATGTTTTATTTATTTATTTATTTTTGTATTAGTTAAAAAAATTATGTTTTATCAATGAAATAATTTATTTATTTTTATCAAACCATGGTTAGTTGTTAGTGTTAGAATTTAGAAGGGGATTAATCTGACCATTACACACAAAAAAAAAAAAAAAAATGCTGATCTTTTTTTTTTTTTTTGAGCTACTTTTGGCCATCTCTTATGGAGTCTAAACAAGTTCAATTCCTAACATTTGCTAAGATTTGAATAATAAAAATCTTAAATTTCAGTTATGCTATGGACAATAATTTTCATTCAAACATTACAAAAACGAATTATAAAATATTTAAGTAACTCCAAAGATTTGATGTGGTGATTGAGAAAATTTATTTTTTTATTTGATTTTTTGAGTTCAAAACTTGAAACCTATATATATATATATATATATTCAAATAATGTGAACTTGATGCGATTCAAATATTGGATTTGTCCAATCCAAATTTATTTGTTTATTTTTAAATTTTTTTAATGATCATTCTTTTCTCTTTATTTTTTTGGCCTCATAAAAGTCAAAATTGCAATAAAAAAAAGAGTAAATTATTAATTAGTTCTTCTTATTTTGAGAAACGGATTAATTACTTTTTTAAAAAAAATAAAAGAATATTAAATTAAATATACTATAAAAAAATGAAATAATTATTTTTTAAGAAAAGAAGACTAGTTAATTTGATTCTTAAAAATAGAGGGACTATTTTATAATTCACCCTAAAAGCAAAAGACAAGAAAACTTAGTTACCTGTAACAGTTCTAATCTTTCCTACATCCGCCCCTTTTACAGCAAGTCTCCCCCTTTGTCTCCAAAACATTGAAACGCCAAGCACTACTTTCTCCAACTTAAAGTCGGCATCTAATTCTAGTTGTAGGGCACTGTAACTGAAGAAACACGATAATAGCGATGATGACATTGTTCCGCCCTAAAACTTCTCATCCTTCCTCTTCAGCATCAGCTTTTCTTAAGTTTCTTCTTCAACAGCAAATGGGTATTTCTGCTTTCAAGAGCTGCAGCAGCAAGGTATGGTTTAAAAACATCGATCATGCTCGAGCCTCCTTTAATGCCATGCTTCTTAGGAAACCTCAACCCTCTATTATTGAATTTTGTAAATTGTTGTCTTCAATTGTTAGAATGGGACATCATCAGTGTGATGAAGAAAAGGCAATGAGACATTATGAGACTGTCGTTTTGTTATCCAGGCAAATGGAACTCGCTGGAATCCCTCATAATATTTATAGTCTTAACATCTTGATGAATAGCTTATGCCATTTACATCATGTGAAATTTGGGCTCTCTGTTTTCGGTAAAATACTTAAGCTTGGTTTGCACCCTGATATGGTAACTTTCAATACCTTATTGAATTGGCTCAATAAAGAGGGAAAAGTGGATCGAGCTCCGATGTTGTATGATGATATGTTGCTGCGAGGGTATCTGCCTGATGTATACACTTATACCGTGATAATCAACTCTCTTTGTAAGACTGGGGAAGTAGATGAGGCTGTTGGTTTTCTCAAGGAAATGGAAAACAAATTAGGTTGTGCTCCAGATGTTGTTACTTACAATTCACTGATTGGTGGATATTGCTTGCAAGAGCAAATGGATGAAGCTATAAGAATATTTGATTTGATGGTTAGTAAGGGCACTGCACCTACTGTTTATACTTACAGCACCTTAATCAATGGATATTGTAAGATGGAAAAGATAGACGAGGCCATGCAACTTCTTGACGAAATGGTGAGAAAATGTTTAGTTCCTAATGTAGTTACTTATACTACCTTGATAAGAAGCTTGTGCCAGGTTGGGAGACCTTGGGCTGCGCAACAGCTATTCATCATATATGCGTGAGTGTGGAGAAGCTCCAAATATAGTAACATACTCAACTTTGATTAAAGGGTTTTGGCAATTGGGGAATCTAGATGAGGCATTGGCACTGTTTCACGAGATGAAATGGAGTGGTTTGAAGCCTAACTTGGTGATCTACAGTATCCTTATTGATGGAATGTGCAAGTCAGGGAAGATTCAAGACGCAAAGGAACTATTTTCTAAACTGCCTGATGAAGGGTTTCAGCCTGATGTTTATACATACAATCCATTAATTGATGGACTTTGCAAACAAGGATTATTAATTGAAGCGCACAAACTTTTTAGAGAAATGGAACAGAATGGCTGCTCACCCAATGAATACTCTTATACTGTTATGATCCAAGGATTTCTGGAACACAATGATCCATCAATGGCAGGGCAGTTTGCTGAAGAAATGGTCAATCGGGGTTTCTCAGAAGATGCAGCTGCCAGAACCTTGCCGAAACAGATGAAGTTTTGTCCACTAACAAACAGTCCAGCTCAAAAAAATTTGCCAGGGCTTTGTGAAGGTCTTTGAGTTGTAAAGCTGAGGTAGGCTTTGGATTTTTGATGCCTCAAATGGATGCCTCAGTCGATGGTGAGCTAGCGGAGCATCACTTGGTGCCATTTGCGAAGAACTCACCTGTTTGGGACACAGTTGGATCACTGAAAGTTTTCCAAAGAAGGCCCCAGAAACCACATTTCAATCCTACGGTCGAATCATGGTATTGAGGATGAGACCATGATTGCTGCAGAAGATGGAGGAATGCAACGACATTTACAAGTTACAAGTCAGCTGGATCTAACTGCAGGTTGGTACCTTTTCTGATTTGATTGGCATTTACTAAAATGATTTTATCTGAAAAATGATGCACTTTTTTTTTTTTTTAAGTAAGAGCATATTGTCGCTAGAGGTGGTTCAACTAACACAGACTTAGAAAATCCTGCATCTAAAGAGGTTAAATTGCCTACAGTACATGTGGGGCCTGTTGGTATGTTGGTCTGTCAACCTGAGACCGTGGAGCAAGGGAGTAGTGACATGAGAGATCTGCAAGTAGAAATGATTGCCCAATATCCTCAAATGATTGCCCAATATCCTCAAATGCATGCCTCAGTCGATGGTGAACTAGCAGAGCATCAACTGGTGCCATTTGTGAAGAAATCACCTGTTTGGGACATGTTTGAATCACTGGAAGTTTTCCAAAGAATGCCCCAGAAACCACATTTCAATCCTTTAGTCAAATGCAAATAATTCAAACGTGAAGGATCTGCAATTGGAAAGATGGTGCTGTTTGCCACAGTGGTTGAGAAGACTTCTGAGTTGCAACTGGGTGACCCTCGTACTGTTTTCAATAACTATTTGGAAACTCTTGCTGACCTGAAAAGCTATGGATTTGATGTCGAGGCAGTAGTTTATCGTATTAATGGTCTATTGTCAATCAAAGAAAGCCAAGAACAGCTTCAGAGTAGATCAAAAGAAGTTGAGATTCAGATTGCAGAGTGTACTCATGACAGAACCAAATTGGAAGAGGATATCGAGGACAGTCAACAAGAAGATACGCAAACTAGAAGAGGAGCGAGGATTGGCCTTGTCAATGAAGGAGAGCAGAGAGTCAGAGATTACTAACTTGCAAATGCAATCCAGTGGTATCAGTGCGGACATTTCAAAGGCTATTCTTGATTTTGAAGCTCTAGCTACTGCCTCTTGGTGATTTTCTTGTTCTTGGGTCCTCTACTGAGAAATATCTTTTACTAAACTTAGGCATGCATAATTATGACTGCTCTTGGTTTTGTATTAGGCATGTTGTGTCTAACCTAGGAACGAACTGTTTAATTGTTAGGTCATTGAAAATATTATGGTCGCTCCACATGAGCAAAAAATGTAGATTACATTAGGCGAATTGAAGTGTTTCGTGGCCTCAGATTTGTTACTCATTCAAACGGGTGAAATAGCAGTCACGTACGGAAACTTGTTAGAAGAGCATTGCCATCAGTGTCCATGCTTACAAAAGAAAATTCAGATATTCCATCAGTTAGTAGAGACCAAAAGAAGACCATGCCTGTAACCAAGGGGGCAATGGCTAGACTTTCGAAACCAGGATCATCTTTGACATGTCTGCACTATTAACGAAGAATTCGATTGCAAGGTAATAATACATGAATCTGCCAATGCTTGTGACTCTTCTAACTCGCATGTTCTTCTTTTCAATTGCATCAATACCTGCGTACAATTTGGCTGTCATGAACAACACTGCAATCTGAATGTCTTGAAGCTGCAACTCACCTATCCCTGATTGACGACAATTCTTTAACAATGCTTCTCGACATCAAATCCAAACATTTTCAAGTCAACAAGAGTTTCCGAATTGGAAGATATTGACGCAATTGAAAAGAGATCGCGTGTTTGTTGCCTCAGCTGTTAGAACCAGGTGGCTTGCGAATTTAGTGGAATCCTCAACTCTTCCACAGAAATCATTGTTCTCCACCAACCACATTTTCTTGTTGATTAGTCTCCTGCATTAGTAAAAAACACGCAAATATTTGCTCGCTCATCCAACAATGTCCTGAATGAAGCCTATGCCTAAACACAGATCATTCATTATTTCCTAACTAAACGAATGAGTCAATTAGGAGGATCTATCAACTTGCCATTTGGTAGATGCATGCAGCTACAAGAACTGGATGCATATGATATGATTCCAAATATCGAAGTTATGCCTCGAGAGCCACCACAGTTTACTGTTGGATTGGAGAAGCCATTGAAGGATTTAAAGAATGAATTATTCGAGGATGGAATGTCCATGGTTGTATTAACAGCTCCTAGTGGATGTGGAAAGACCACGTTGGCTAAAAAACTTTGTCAAGATGAAGCTATTAAAGGTGTCACTTCTATTTGTCAGCAAGTTTTTGTTTCTGTATTTTTATCATAGATCACAATTTGATATTGGCATTTCATTTGCATCCATAACATATAAGCTGGAGATATTCCCAGGTTTTGAGTATTCTCCATGTGATTTATACGATCTTAGTGTTTTGAGAGTCAAGAAGGTTGACAGATCTCTGACGCTGTTTTTACCAAATTTTTGTTATGAAGGTTTTAAATATTTGCAACAATATAAATGTTTAGGCATATTATGGCCACATGAATTGATTCTTCTTCAAAATTTGGGACACTGCAGCAAGTTACAAATGGATTGGAACATCAATATGGTTAATTTCGACTTGATGAACATGTATGTTAATTTGTTGCCAAAAAAATGAAACTTTTACTAACAGTTTTTCTCTGTGATGTTTGACTAGGAAAATTTAAAGATAATATCTTCTTCATCACTGTTTCAAAATCACCTGATCTGAAGTTCATTATACAGCAGCTATTTTGGCATAAGGGGCATTCGGTCCATGAGTTTAGAACTGATGAAGAAGCACTAAACTGCTTGGAGCAATTGCTGAAGCAAATAGGAACAAAGCCTATATTATTGGTCCTCGATGATGTCTGGTGTGGATCAGAGAGCCTTCTGGAAAAGTTCCAAGTTCCAAATACCAGGATACAAGATTTTGTTGACATCAAGGTCCTCACTCCGAGGATTTGGTTCGAAATATAAATTGGATATGTTGAATAATGAAGACTCCATGAGTCTTTTTCGACAGACAGCCGATCTGCAAAATGGCATCTCTAACAATGTAGAAGAAGATGTGGTGAAGAAGGCAATTTTACAATTCGGAAGAGCATGTAAATTTCTTAGTATGCATACTACCTCCAAAATCATGTTTGTTTTTCTGTTCCATATTTGGGTTTATCATTGCTACTGCAATAATCTGATTGAATTGCCTGTTGGACTCTGTGACATTGTCTCCCTAAAGAAACTCTGCATCACCTACTGTCAAGACCAGTCCATAATGCCTCAAGAAATTGGAAAGTTGGTGAATCTACAAGTCTTGATTCTTGGTTCCTGCATAAATTTGTTGGAGTTGCCAGACACCATTGGAAGCCTCCAGGAACTCAGCATTCTTGACATATCAGACTCTATTAATTTTAAGAAATTGCCAGGACAGATTGGTGAGCTGCAGAATCTAAGAAAGCTTTACATGACGGGATGCTCAAATTGCGAGCTACCTAAGTCAGTCGCCAATCTTGTGCAGTTGAAGTCCTTGATCTGTGATGAGAAAACAGCGAAATTATGGAAACCTTTCAGGCGCTACCTCACAAACTTGACTATTAAGTGCTAAGTCTAAATGTATGATAAGATTTAAGAAATACAATTGCTATGATTTTCATTTACATTAATGTATCACATATACATAAATATCTTCTATCCTCCATAGTCACAACGATATCAAACGCCTGAAGTCAGCTTTCTACAATGGATTTATGCATTTTTGTCTGTAGTTTTGCTCCCATATGGACTAACTGCAAAATGGGTTTAATTCTCCTGACAAACTGCCACACTTTCACTGATGTCAGTCAAATTTCAGTCCATCATTTAGATAATTTTGCATCAACAAGATGTAAGAGCACCCTATGTCCTCTCCGATTTCCTGAGATCAATACAGCATATAAATTACTTGTTTGCTGTTAAGTGGTGTACCCAAGAGGGACTGTTGTTTTGTTTTGTTTTGATGATTGATTTCATAATGCACTCCTATGATGGATTCAAGTATTCAACTGGAGTTTTTATCATACTAAGTAGCTTAAGATATTTTGCCAGAAAAATGTCTACTTAAAATATTCTTAATTGCAAGCAGAGGGTATATGTTACCTTGTGGAAATGATTGGTACTCATACTGGAGATCAGTCTGGAATCTCCTTTTTGCTCTTCTTTGTTTCTCTATGATGAAAGTCAAGGATGCACTTTGAGTTGGGTTAACCAATGATTTTGAATTTTCTTCGGAATAGAATTGTGTTTGAAGATACAAGTTATTCCATAATAAATAAAATGATAAGAAGTTATTCCTGATCATTTCATCATATATTGACAGCATATTCTTTGGTTATTTCTTTTTCAGCAATTCATTCCTTTTAATTCCTGTTGGTTCTAAGAAAAACTGAACAACATGATACATGCCATATATGCAATAATCAAAAGATGTCTAATTAAACTCAGAATTCAGTTATTTCTTTCCTGTTTTCTCCTGATTAATTTTTTCCTTGGACGAAATACATGCAAATATTAATTTTCAGGAGTCTTGAAACTAACAAAAATGTATTCTTGAAGCAAGCATATATACTTGTTCCATTCCTCAGATTATTTTTCAAGAACAAACGAATTATATAATGCATTGATTGATTAAGAAGCTGAAGAAAACTCTCTACATTGCTGGGACATACACGCTTCTTAATCAACATCAAGAAAAATTGAAAAAATCCAGAATTTTCTACCGACAAGATCAAGAGATGTCAATTGTTATTGATGCTGCAACAGGAATGGTACTGGCCGAGTTGATTAAAGTTGTGGTAGATGCAAAGAACAAAGTAGAGAAGTTCGAAACTATCTTGGAGAGCATGGAATCCACTCTAACATCTGTAACTAGAGAGCTTGACAAGATAAAAGTGGTAAACACAGAATTGGATTGTGGAAATGATAAGGAAATGAAGATATTGTTGGAACAAATAGGGAAAGGGAAGAAGGTTATTCTCAAAAGCACAAAATTTTTTTTTTTTTAAGTTGCTTCAAAAAAACTCGTTATCTGAAGGAACTTCAACAATTGGATGATTCTCTTAAAAGGTTCCGTCAGATTGTCATGCCGGTGCTACAAGCCAGGATTCAGCAGCAGGCATTGGCGGTGGCGATGGACATTCGTGAGGATGTGAAAGACATTCGCAAGAAGGTGAAAGACAGTCATTATTTTGGGAAAGATTTGCATGATGAGGTCAAAGACATCAGTAAGGAGGTAAAGCATGTGGAGGAGATCCGTGATGCTGTGGAAAATACCCATAATGGTGTCGAAGGCATTGATAATCACGTCAAAGAAGTTCTTGACAAGGTGAGAAGAGTACCAGAAATGTATGCAGACGTGAAAGAGACTCACGCCGAAGTGAAAGGAATACGCGAGGACATGAAAGATCTCCGTTCAAATATGAAAAATTGGAAGCCAGCCAATGAATTACCTTATATGCCTCCAGAGCCACCACAGGTCTAAGAAATTCATGAGGAGATGAAAGATATTCCGATATTGATGTTGGTGAGAGAAATTAATGATCAAGTGAAAGCCCTTCGTAAGGAGCTCCAACGCTTAAACAACACAGCATCTTTGTATCCATGTAAACCTCCAGAGCCATCAGAGTTCACCGTTGGGTTGGACATGCCATTCAGAGAATTAAAGAACGAACTTTTCAAGGATGGCCCGACCATGATTATATTAACTGGTCCTCAAGGATGTGGAAAGACCACGTTGGCTGCAAAACTATGTCGAGATGGAGATATTAACGGTACCATGCCCTTTTCTCCCCTGTTTCTGTTTATTTAAATTTTGATCACAAGTACTAAATTTGAAACTTCCATATATATATATATATATTTTTTCGCTTTTCTGTAATCCGAAGATCATCAATGGGCAGACTGCTTCCTGAATTGAACCTTCTATTTTTGATTCATTGGTAGCCCCATTATGTCTTGGACTGCTTACCGGCGGATAGCCATCCCCTCCAATCCCAGGCCGTTTACTATCTAGCCTGGTCATCTAATCTAGTCTAGCTAGCACTAAACTTTCCATGAGATCTAGCCAATATTACATCTACAATCTGATGCATTTGTGTTTGTGTAAACTATTCAATATGAACTTGTTGTCCTTGATGCTCACAAATTTTTAAACTTTAAATTATCACAAAGATCGAATCAAACAAGCCTCTATTATAGGCTAAGATTGGCAAAATAATATGGTAATTTTCTAGTTTATGAAACTCAGACTTGATTTGTAGAGAGATACAGAACTTCTATTGTCAATATGTTGATATGGTGTTTGGACAGGCAAATTTAGAGGCAATATCTTCTTTTTCACTGTCTCCAAAAACCAAACCTGAAGGTCATGGTTGATAAACTATTCCGCCACAAGGGACATTCTCATGTGCCAGAGTTTCAGAGCGATGAAGATGCATTCATGCACATGGAGAAATTGTTGAAGAAGAGAGGACCTAATCCTTTATTGTTGGTCCTGGATGATGTTTGGCCTCACTCAGAACACTTTCTTGATAATTTCAAATTCCAGATTCCAGGTGATAAGATTCTAGTGACATCAAAATCTGCATTTCCAAGATTTGGTTCATCGTATGAATTGAAGCCACTGAGTGATGAAGATGCCATGACACTTTTTGTTCACTCAGCGCTCCCTACTAACCGGAATTCTTCTTTTCTGGATAAAAGTATTTTGAATGAGGTGCTTTCTCAACCTTTCATAGAAGCAAGAACATTTCAACTTAATTTCTAATGCAAAATAATAAAAAAGGTTCAGTAGCTTCAAAAACTAATTTTTCAGTACTCCAGCTTGCTATATGAGAAGGGTGATCCATTCTAAACCATGAATCTCTTAGTTGCCATACTTTATCGTTTGGAAAAGTTTATCCAAACCATAAATTTACTTGACTTTCATATGTAAAATTCGTTTCAGATAGTGAATGCATGTAGAGGGAACCCACTGGCTCTTACAGTTGTTGGCAGATCTTTGTGCGAGCAGCCTGTAGCAGTCTGGCACGATACATTCCTGGAACTGTCTAAACAGGGTCCTGTTGTCGAATACAATAGTGCTCTTCGTAATTGTCTCCAACAAAGCTTGAAGCTCTTGAAGAATAATAAGGCTACAGTCAAGGAGTGTTTCATGGATCTAGGTTTATTTCCCGAAGGTCAATGGATTCCTGCCACTGCACTCATAGACTTGTGGGTTGAACTATATGAACTAGATGAAGATGGAGTGAATTCCATTGCTATCCTCCGTGACCTCCATGCCTTAAACCTTGTTAATCTTGAAGTGAGGAGGTAATCTGGGACCTCTTTTATCGTAATCTTTTTCGCTCTTACATGCTTAAGTTAAACTTCTTTGTTTGGTGAATTACTGGCTGCTTTTACATCAATGTTCATATCATATTACGGCTTGCATTTTCATTTACTCTCCATTGTAATGTAGTGTGATAACTTCATTTTTCAACAAGCCAGTGGCAGAAGTTTTTGTTTAATATTTTCTTCATTGTAGGTCAATCTAGAATTCAATGGAAATTCAATTTGTCTCTCTCTCTCTCTCTCTCATATATATATATATATATATATTTCACATCAGTAAATGTAACTGCATATTGAAGGTGATAGTTTCTCAGGTTCGTTTATCACTTCTGTTATCAGATAACACTGTGTAATGCATCTTAATTTCTCAACGTTTTAGCCTTAGAATATCTTCCTAAGCAAACAATTCTTCCATTCAAAATTTTCCAGGACAGATGCAAATGAAATTGATGGGCTCTATAATGATCACTTTGTCATGCAACATGTTCTTCTCCGACAACTAGTGAATGATGAAAGCAGCTTGGAGCCTGTAGAGCAAAGAAAAAGACTAATTATAGAAGTGAGCGGAAATGGATTTCCAAATTGGGGTGAGGAAGAAGAAAAACCATGCGTCAGTGCCCGCCTCTTGTCCATCACAACAGGTTCATTTCTATCTTTCTCAAATATTATTTTATTATTTGGAAGTTGGCAACCGGTTATATATGCAATCTAAAACTGGTATAGCAATATGTTTGACAAATGTTAAGCACACCTGACTTTGGAGTTAGTCAATTTTTATTTGTTCCCTGCCTTCACATTATTCAGCATATTTTTACAGAGGAGATATTAACACCGAACTTGTTCGACGTGCAACCACCAGAAGTCGAGGTTCTAGTTCTAAATGTTTTCACAAAGTATTGCATGTTGCCTGAGTTTATGAAGAAAATGGAGAAACTGAAAGCTCTTATAATCACAAACTATGGTTTCTTGCCACCTGAAATAAGCAATTTTCTTCTTCTCTGTTCTCTGCCCAATCTGAAGAGGTAGGCTGGAGAATATTTCAATTGTTTCTCTTGGTTTGACATCTGTACTGTTGAAACAGCTACAAAAGATATCCCTGGTAATGTGTAACGTTGGACAGGCTTTTAGTAACACCACCATACGGTTGTCAAGTGCAATGCCAAACCTATTGGAAATCAGCATGGACCGTTGCATTGACATGAAGAGCCTGCCTATCTGGTTTTGTGACCTTGTCCACCTAAAGAAACTTTCTATCAGCAGTTGTTGGGAACTGTCCGAACTACCAAGGGAAATCCGGAAGTTAGTGAATCTAGAAGTGCTGAGGCTTCGTTTCTGTATCCAATTAGCCAAGCTTCCAGAGACAATTGGGAGCTTGTCCAAGTTGAGAATTCTTGACATTTCTGACTGTGCAAGCATCATGCAGTTGCCAAATGAGATTGGAGATTTATATAATCTAAGAAAACTTTACATGAAAGGGTCCTCAATTTCAGAGTTGCCACCATCAATTGCGAATCTTAACCATTTACAGAATGTCATGTGTGACGAAGAAACTACTACTCTATGGAAACCTTTCTTGAAAAATCGAACAGATCTTTGGATAAAGGCGGGACAAGGAGGATGCATCTACTTGTATTATTACTTCTCTCTTTCCTGATGTGTATGTACGTGAACGTATAATCATATGTATATGCCGTCAGTGTGTTATGTATATGAACAAAACTCAGGTCAAGAATTCAATGACCAGCTCATGTGATAGATCTTACCAGTTATGTCTTTTCCAATTCAAAAGGTTCTTGTTATTAAGATACCAGTTTCAAGTTCTTTTTTCTATCTCTCTTAAATTAGTATCTTGATCTTGTTATTTTTTATCCAATTAAATTTTATCTGGCTGTTATACAGATATGTATATATATATATATATATGTATACCTGAACCCAATAAATTGGATAAAAAAATTAGATAAAACCCATCAAAATTTTCAATGTGTTTCCAATACCAAAAAAATAATAATAATAAAAATAAAAAATTTAGTGACGATTTAAAATATCGCTAAATGTAAAAAAACCATCGCTAATTATAATTAGCGACGTCAAAAACCTTCTCACTAATTAATTAGTGATGCTTTTGTTAATCTATTGCTAATTTAGCGTTGGTTTATCCATCGCTAAATAATTGGAAAAAGGCCGTCAATTTAGCGACAATTTTTATAATTCGTTGCTAAAATTTATGATTGTTTAGCGATTGTTTTTCTTAACCATCGCTAATTATGGTCAAAGTTAGAGAAGAATTTAGCAACGGGTTTAAATTGTCACTAAATTTTTTATTTTATTTTATTTTTTAAAGTTTTTTTACGATATTTTCGAGTTAATTATTTCATTGTTCACATGTCCTTAATAAGAAATATAAAATCCAGTCTAATTTAACAACTACAATAACAATATGAAATTGATTTATAAATAATACGAAACCTTTATAATATATAAATTTCAATCCAATCAAATAGATATGCAAACACTAAATTATATTAAAGTGTATTAATATTTCAAAAAATAAAAACATAAAAGTGATAAAAAAAATATTGTAATGAGTGGGATACATATCACGACATATCGGCATTTTCATCCAATGTATGATGATTAGTCGATGGATTGGTAGGTGAATTACCTTTTTGCATATTCGGTAGCATCTGCTACAACATCGCATACTACTCCGTATATGTTGCTCCAATCGCTTTTAACTTTCTAAGAGGTATGTAATAGTACCCTTAAGGTTCTTGATCTCTTTCTTCATGTCCATCATTTTTGGCCTTCATTTCCTTTCGAAGTCGCTCATCGACATGAACCCGTAATGTGGTCGAACTAAAGGATGAATTGACATTAGAGTAATAATGAGAGGCTAGTGACCCAAGTCCGTATATTCTCTTTCTCTTACTCGTCTCCTTCTCTAACAACCTTCTTAAATATATAATAAGGAGGGTGATGAAGTACCCTCCGTCCCTCGGCTAGCAACCTTCTCCTCAAATATTTTATCAACGGTGTCCTCGCATTATTACATAAATTTTAATATTAAATAGTAATCTCAATAAATTATATAAAAGTTACATACATATGAAGTAAGCTTATAAATTAATTACCCCGAGTTTTTTGCCTGCTAATTAATGAATACATACTTATCATCAACCTTCTTCTCGTAAGTCTTCAATAACATTTCGTGAGCATTAAGTTCACGACCTAACTCTTTATATTGAAACAAATATACTTAAATGTATATTGATATTGCAATATAGGATTTGCCATGCATATTGCATGCTCCCCGAGCATGATCGAACCTCCCATATATCTAGATGGGCCATCCTTGATGCCACCCTTCTTACTCATATGGTTTCGGGCTACTCGCTCAAATCGAGTACGAGACTTAGGTTTTGCCCATATCTCCTATGAGATATATGTTGGTTTGGGATGTCTCTTCACTTGATAAAGGAAGTTGGAGTATTACTTTCGTGTGAGACTCGCCATGTTTTCCTAATGTTTTGATCGAACTCCCGGTCCCATGTAAAGGACTTCGCAAGAACATTAAAAATATTCATTAATACATTTAAATGAACACTAATGTTTCTTAATTTAAATGTACTTGTCACATAATAAATTAAGCTACAAACTATTATTAAACTCCTCCCAATAAAACTCTTTAGTTTGCTTAGTAATTGACCTCCACGTCATTTCAAATTAGTAAACATGCTCGTAGAATATCTTATAGATTGACAAGAGCACATATCAAATGGATACAAACTATGAAACAAGATAATTAACAATTAAATAAATACATAAATATAATAATACACTAAATTTTTTTAAAAAAATTATGCATAATATGTACTCTTTGCCATCAACGAGAGAAATATAAATGTGAGGATCTTAAGTAGAACCGACAGATGTAGAAGACAAATCGGAAGGGACATATGGCAATAAGCCATGTGTAGGAATTCAACGATCGTTCCGGTAGGGTGAAGGCTCTAATGACAACGAACGTTTAGAAGTGTTGGGACGTTGAGGTCCGTTCCGAAGAGGCTCAAGCTGAAACATGTCCAATGATGATGGGTTTGACACGGGGGCTACGGGGTATAGATACATGTCGACGAGAAAGGCATTTAACCTAGAAAGAAAGCGAGGACTATGCCTATGTCCACGATCACTCGCCATCGTCGGTGTCCGAACCATAACCCTCACTATATGATATGAGGCACCATAAGCGAGAACGCCCTCTACCACGAGCCATAACCCGCATATTACCATCTTAATTAGTTAATAAAACACAACAACTATAAAACATATGTATTACCATAAATAAGTTTAAAATATTTATTTTACAATTAATAAATAATTTCATAATTAATTTAAAACACACACACACATACATATATATATATATATATATATATTGTGTATGTGTATTGGGCTTCCATATTGTTTTCCCGAAATGGCTCTATAATTGTTTTGATCGTAATAGATGATTCTAGCACATTTACCACCACCCTCAATTTTACCTTACATTTAGCCAATTAATTACACCTAATGCACTTTAATGTAAAATATGTTGCATAATACACATGATATGCTTGTTTTGCTAGGATAAAAGATCAAATCTATTCGACCTCGACTACGTACCTTTACTAATCAATACGACTATGTACCTTGTATCAACGCCAAGTGAAGTATCATACCAATCATATTTGAACAATACGATTCTCTTGATTGGTAATGCAAGATACTCAAGTTTCAATATATTAGTCAACCTACCATAGTAGTCATTTTCCTTAACACTATAATTAACTCTTTTTACGCATACTCCACTACATATTGTTGCTCTATCTAAACCATGGTCTTTAGTGTGAAACTTGTACTCATCCATAATGCATCCCAAATATGAATTTACTATTTACAATGGTCCTTTTAAATGATCTTTAATGTAATGGTCAATGATAGAGTTGGGTCTTACGTATAAAGTCCAAATCCATTACTTATTATTAGTATAAAATTTTGTCATTTCATCTTACTAATAAAACAAATTCAAAATTTATGATACTCACATATCGATAAAACCATAATGCAAAATTATTTTCAAGTCAAGCATCAACCTCGTGTTTCAACATGTCGGGATTACTTTGATGAAGTTGGCTCACAAAATAGCTATCTAAGGAAAATAATTATAAAATTTTTAAAGTCTTTATTATATTCGGTTAACGACGAGCCCATGGGGATCACCAATCAAGTTGGTCGAGTATCTCCCACTTCAAGTGTTATATATGGGCCTCTAACTCCCGAGGCTATGGATGTTCTTCTTTTTCCTCCCACGGAGCCAACACATTTATAACATTTACTACCAAAGAGGTTCCTCTCGCCCATAAAGGTTTGCGCACTAGTAACAAAGGTTCTAGTATTCACTGTAGCGAGTGCCACATCGACTAATGTATCTGCCACTTCGCAGAGCTCGCACGACTCATCCAGTCGCCGAATTATTTCTATTGCTCGTAGAAAGTATGTAATTTTTTAAAGACAATGTTATTATTTTATTATTTTAATATATCATTTCAATAATTATTGACTTTTTTTTTGTGATGTTCAATAGTTTTAGTTCACATAGTAGAGATTATTCCACGAGGATAACCAATATTTTTAAGGAGCGATTGGATGTCGATGAGTCGACATGAAAGTCCATCTCGGATCTCACTAAACAATTCTACTTTACTAAATTTTGAATAACATATTATTAATCTATTTTATTATATTTAAAATATTAATTTAATATTAAATTAAGTAGTTAATATTAATTTTTTTAATTCGTGTTAAAATATTTTTATCGGGATTCGACCATCGAGGCGGTTAGTAGAGAAGCTTGGGAGGCTCTAACAAGGAAGCCCTACTCCAACTTCCTCTACAACCATGGTTCGATGTCCGAATGAGGAGCTTCGAAGGTAGTACGAGGAGGAAAAATAGACAATACATGGGATGCGGACCAAACAAGACAAGTTGTAAAACATTGTCATGTAATAGCAAAGTTTCATATAGGGGTTGTAGTCTCGGTATGACTCATTTGCCTCGATGTTAACTAGTTTAGTACGGATGTTCGGATTACCTGTAGATCTATCCACCAGTAAGGACTCCACCATCCCTCCCATCAAGCCACAAGAGGAGGAGAGGGGATGGATGATCGAATGACGATCGAAGAAACATTTTATTTATTTATTTATTTATCTTCTTTTACTTACAAACAAATATTTTTTCGTTAATATTAATTTAAATTTATGTTTTAATAGAAACTAAAAACCAAATTTAATAATATGTTTTTTTAATTGTTAATTACTATTAAGAATATCACAAATTTTAAAAACTATAAAAAATAAAAACCAAAATTTTCAATTAAAAAAATAAAATCAATAAACTTTGCAACAGAATATTAGTGACAAGTTGGCATTGAAAATTAGCGAAAACAATAGCAATTGAATAGCGATAAATACATTTAGTGATGGAATTTGAGATGGAATAATGATGCTAAAATCCTAAGATTTATGACCTATTAACAACGAAATTTAACATTTTAGCGATGGAAGTGTCGTCGCTAATTAACAACATATATGTTTCTTCGATTAAGAGGGT